CAGGTTCCCCACCCCTAGGTATATAACAAAATATTCATAGCAACATTTTTCATGGTAGCAAAGAACTAGAAACAAAGCATCCTTAGACCAGGGAATGGCTTAAGAAACTAGGGCATATGAACATAATGGGATATTATTGTGTAGTAGGAAAAGGCAAATATAAGGAATTCAGAGAAGCATGGGAAGACTTTTATGAATTGAAGCAGAATGAAACAAGGAGAACCAGGAGAACAATACAGCTGGGTTTTGATTGATGCAAGAAGTGGTTGCATGTCTTCAAAATCACATCATAACTTCTGTTATAACTATGGGAAATATGGTAATTGGTTCCAACTTAATGAAAATATTCAGTATACAATGACTACAACAGTGTAAATGATCACTAAAAGGAATGTGAACTCTGAGTAATTAAAAAACCAAAGGGAAAGCTCAGATAACAAATTGGTAATTAAATATATGTCCCTCCTTGAAGTAGTAAAACTAAGAACATCTGGGATAAAATGTTGTATATGCTTTCAGATAGAGTCCCTGAATGAGATGGTTTTAACTGTTATTCTTTGTCACGTCCCACCTATGACCTAGCTGGCCATGTGACCCTGGGCAAGTATTTTAATCTTTAAGCACCCCAGTCAACTCTCTAAGATTATAGTTGCAGAACAGCACAGATCTGCATTGGAGAAGGAAATTTCCTCACCAAGAGTACCCTCCTCTGATAAAATCACAAGTCTGGTAAAAAATAAATGACACAATCAGTACCTAGGACAGTGCCTGGAATGCAATAGGTATTTAAAAAATACTTGTTAACTGAGTTGAATTGAAATGAATGGGATTGGCAATAAGATGGTATGGTAGAAAGGATACTTGGTTTCAAACTAGAAAAGAATAAATCCTGCCTCTGACATTGAGTAACTGTGTGATCATGGAGAGGTAATTTAGTTTTTCTGAGCCTCAGTTCCCTTCCTCATCCTCAAAATGGACACAATAATACCTGTAGTATCTACATCCAGTTGCTTTGAGAATTGCATGAGATCAAGTATGAAAAGTGCTTTGTAAAGCTTAAAATGCTATGTAAACATCAGTAGTTACAATTGCAGGGGAGGGAATTCTAGGCAGGGAGAATAGGCAGCAGTGAAGAGGCAGGAACGTGCCTGACATGTTTAGGGTTCAGTGAAAAGACCAATCTAACTGGAATGGAGCGTTCTTCTGGAGAAAGATAAGGATGGAAAGATAAGGTTGGTTGGGGGCAGATTGTTCAGACTTTATCTTGTAGGTCAATGGTTCTTAAGCTTTGCAGTTGTGGAATCTTTCACTTTAAATAAAAATTTTTTGGTGGAGAATAGAGTAAAAAATCTTTAAAAAAAAATTTTTTTGAGGTGGTTACTAGTAATGGTACCAGGTAGCTGAAGGCTGGTTTTAAAAAATAATAATAAAAGCAAACAATTGATGTTTTCAGATCCTTTTTATTCCAAAGGTATCAGTAGGATGTGACTATTTGCTACCTATATTTTTATAATAGGGGATGATGAGATCATCGTGAGATATTTCATAATGTTCATTTTATCTCTGACTAAAAGATAAATAGGATTGTAGGTGTAGGGCCAGAAGGGATTGTAGAGGTCATCTAATCCATCCCCTTCCTTTTACAGATGAAAAAACTAAGTTCCGTAAAGGTAGGGGACTTACCCAAGGTCACAGCTAATTAATAGCAGTGACATTGCCTGATTTGAACTCGGGTCTTCCTGACTCCAGACCTGGCAATCGATCCACTATGCTACCTAGCTACAGGTATCCAAACTGTCATCCTGAAGGTTAGATATTTCTAGCCTTCACAAGTGAGTTCAAATTCAGCATTTCTTCCACCAGATAACTGCCCCTTCTTTGTAAACCTGAATTTGGCAGGGGGAGGTTGTTTCTTTTAGGGACATTTCACTTAACAGAGCCACAAAATCTTAAAGTTGGAAGAGACTTTGGAGGCCATATACTCCAACTCATACCTGAATAAGAATTCCGTCTACAACGTAACTAAGAAATGGCATCCATCCCTTGATTTAAGACCTCTAGTAAAGGAGAACTGCTCCCTCCTGAGGAATCCCATTTCGCTTTCTGGATATTCCTGTTTATTAGGATCTTTTTCCTTTGTATTTTACCAAAATCACAATTTTGTTTTACTGACTGCTTCTAGTCCTTAGCCCTGTGAAGCTGAACCCTCTTCTACATAACAGTGCTCCAAGTACTTTAAGACAGCTTCTTGTCACCTTTGAGTTTTCTATTTTCCAAGCTAAACATCCACAGTTCTTCCAGTAGAGCCTCACTATCTAGTTACTCTGCCTCTTCACAAGCTTATCAATGTCTTTTCTAAAACAAGGACCCAGAAATGAACACAATAACTGATAAATAGATATCACTTTCCCTTCTGACCTGCTGCTGTCTATGCAACTCACAAATCTGGATCTCCTGGCAAGCCAGGTCATCATCTGGGCTTTCTTAGTCCCTTCAGCTGCAGCGTCCTCCTGATGGTTTCTCCTGGTGGTGATGCAGTTTCTCTTCTGAGAATCAGTGGAATTGCCAAAAGCAATGCCCACTGGGTCACTGAGTCAAGAACCCAGGAATTCTTAAACTCACAGCATAGTTGTGAAAGCTAAAAATGTCTAGTCTTCAGGATTACTTTGATTACCTGTAGGTAGGTGGCACAGTGGATAGATTGCTGGGCCTGGAGTCGGGAAGACTTGAATTCCAATCTGTGCTCAGACACTTTACTAGCTGCGTGACCCTGGGCAAGTTGTTTAACTTTGTTTGCCTCAGTTTCCTCATCTGTAAAATGAGCTGGAGAAGGAAATGGCAAAACACTCCAGTGTCTTTGCCAAGAAAACTCTGAAGGGTATCATGAAGAGTCAGACACAACTGAGATGAATGAACAACAATAGCAACTTAAGGAAAGAAATACAAATCAGAAGACACAGGGACTTGGGCTAAAGCTGACGTAGGCAAGCTTTCTTCAAATGGAGTTTACCCTTCACTACTTCAATCAATAAACATTTATTAAGCACCTACTATGTGCCTGGCACTGTGCTAAGCACCAGGGATACAAAGAGAGGCATGAGACAGTCCTTGACCTCAAGGAGGTCATGATCTAATGGAGGAGACAGCAAGTAAACAAATACTTAGAAACAAGCAATATACAGGATAAATAGCAATTAATTAACAGAAGGAAGGCACTCAAATTAAGAGGGGTTGGGAAAAGCTTCCTGTAGAAGAAAGGGTTTTAGTTGGGACTTAAGGGAAGCCAGTAGGTAAAGATGAGGAGGGAAAGCATTTTAGGAATGGAAGATAGCTAGGGAAAATGTACATTTTACCAAGTAATCTTCTGCTATCCTTCTCCATATGATGATGGAAAATGAAGATTGAGAAAAATCCTTTGAATTTCATAGAAACAAAGTTATTCTTTGAGAGAGCAAGTATGGTGGGGATGAAGACCAGATTGTAAGGGGCCAAAGAGGCAGTGGGTGATAAGATAGGTAATGGATGCCCAAGGTTGAGGTAGGACAATTCCATGGATGATACTATGGTTTTGTTTTGTTTTTTTGTTTGCAGTTTCTGCATATGGAGGATCGGGAACCAGGCACACCATACACAGGCCCAGAGGTCCTGAAGAAAGGACCTATGTTTATCAAGAGATCTGAAATCAACCAGGAGCCAAAAGCCCCATCTCAGGAACATGATTCTACACTTCCACTTCAATCCCAGACCTCTAGAACTTGTGACACCAATCAAGCCTACAAAAATACCCCAACTAAGCTCATTCCTCAGGAGAAGGGCCCAGAGTTCAAAGGCAAGGGCAGTGAGAGCGGGCCCCCAGAACAAATGGGGAACAAAAGCACAACAACCATGTTCTTGACTGTCCCTGGCTCCCATTCTCCTGGACCCATCAAGTCACCTAGACCTATGAAAGGCCATGTGACCCCATTCTCTTGGCCACATAAAAAGATGTCTCCCAGCCTGTCTTCACTCAACTCCATGGCCTCCTCATGCTTTGACGTGACAGGAAGCAGCCTAACCGTTGAGTATGTTTCTCTCTTCTTGAATATTATTTTTCATCATAGCAGCCTGAAAGAAAAGTGAAAATATCTTCACACAAGTGAAGAGAAACATGAACACACATTTCCTTGTAATTAATTATTTAATCAGAAATATGTCTATTGAGTCTTTTGGTAGAGAGAGGACTGATCTAGAAGTTAAATAGCCTATGTCCTAGTCCCAGTTATGCCAATTAAATCATCTTGTCATCCTGGGCCATTCACTTACTTTCAGATTCTTCATCTGTAAAATGAAAGAGCTGAACTAGCTAATCTCTAAGGTCCATGATGCTCCAAGATTATGTGAAATAGAAACAGTTGTCTTGGGATTGTATTTGAAACCTAGAATGATAGGGCTACAAGGTTATATTGAGGATACTTTCAGATCAGACTTGTCTAAGAATTCAACCAAACCGCCAAAAAAATTTTATTTCAAATGGTTGATTCTTGCTCTCAGAGGAAGGCCATTGGGTGCCTCTTTAATTTATATAATGCATTTTGCCTTAGAAAGTGCTTTCACATATATTATCTCATATTGGTCTCAAGACATATCTGTTTGCTTGGTTGGTAGCTCGGGTAGCTAACAATATTCTTCCCATTTTATGGATGGGAAAACAGGAAGCCAAAGGTGACAGCCCACAGGCATTAACCAAGTACTTACTATGCACCAGGCACTGTATCACAACATACAAATACAAAAACATGGTCTCTGCCCTCAAGGGGTTCCCATTATAATGGGGTAGACAACATTCAAAGTACAGTAGCAGACAAGATATATACAGGGTATATGATGAAAGGTAATATCTGAGGGAAAGTAGTAGTGGAGGCATTGGAAGAGATGGGGGAAGCCTCTCAAAGAAGGTGATATTTGAGCTGAACCTTACGGGAGGCGTGAGGCGGAGCAGAGGAGAGAGAGCATTCCAGGCATGGGGGACGACCAGTGAAAAGGCAAAGTTGAGGGATGGAGTGTTGTTATGAGTGAGGAACAGCAAGGATCCCTGGAGGGGAGTAAAGGGTAAGAAGACTGGAAAGGTTGGATGGGACCAGGTGGTAAAGGGCTTCACAAGCCAAAGAGAAGATTTTATATTTGATCCTGGAGGTAATGGGAAGCCACTGGAGTTTATTGAGTAGGAAGGTGATCTGATCAGACATGCACTTTAGGAGAATCTTTTTGGCAGCTCAGTGAAGGATGGACTGGAATGGGGAATGAATCAAAGAAGATTAAAAGATATTGCAATGGTTCAGGCACCAGGAGAGTGCCAGAGCCAGATCAAGACCCAAGATTCTTCTGAGAGCTCCATCTGCTGGTGTAATGTAGATTGAAAAACTGTCCCAACATACTTCTACACTATAAAAAAAATACGGAAACAAAAAACAACAGGTTTATTTAAATCATAAGATGTTTAACTTGAAGGAAAAACTCCTTAAGAGCAATTTCATTACAGAAATTTACCATTGCTGAAAAACGGAGATTGCTCCAAATGTAACACTTGTGTGCGTGCGCGCACACACATACACACACACACAAACAAGTTATAAAATCATCTTGGGTTTCAAAACTTTGAAATTATGCAAACATGATTTTTTTTTTTGCAGATTTTTAAAAAGTTGTGTATGAGCTAAATGTCTGTAAATCAAACATTTTCCTATTTATTTACATCACATTTGCTGAGCATTTTGAATCATCCCTTCTGGGGACTCTTCAAATGGCAGTGGTCCATAAGCCTTTTTAAATCTCCTTGCAACTTTCTACCCTTATTATCTCATCTCTAACCATTTAAATTCACTATGAACTTGTATTTAAAGAACTGATCTGTGAATCCACTTGTAATACATATAAAACAAATAGACAAATTGTGGGGGGTGGGAGTGGGGGGGTGTTTGTCAGTTCATCTTTTTTATCCACTGGACTTTCTTAGGGTCAAGCACATTTCATGTCTCTCAGGAAGGTCTATGTTGTTTAAACTGGGCAGAGAAATGAAAAGTCTTTGTTTTTGCAGTACTGATGGGAACTGCCACCCACTAGGAGAGATTCAGCTCTCTGTCCACTACACGTCCCTTCAACAGAGCCTTGTGGTTCTCATTAATGGCTGCAGGTAAAATGTTTCTAGTTCTCTGATTTCTTATCTTTTTCTTGAGAATCAGGTAGCTGAAAAGCAGTTCAGGGAAGGTAGCCTGGAAAAAAGAAGTAGAGAATAAGAAATGTGCATACATACGGTCTACAAAGTGAATGCTCCATGGAGGGATTATAGGAGCACAGAGATATCTAGTCTAACCAACTAGTCTAACCCCTTCTTTTTTACAGATGAAGAAACTGAGGCCCAGAAAGGTTAGGTCCCATACTTAGCATAAGCATCAGAAGTGGGATTTGAACCAGGTCTTCTGACACTAAAGCCAGTTTGTTTCTTTTAACTGTCCTATGCTTCCTCCTCTATAATGAAGAGTGGACAGTTTTTAAATGCCTGCATGCTGCAATTAACCAAGTTCCAAAATATCCTACTTAGTAGATCCTTTCCATTGGTGCCATTGGAATCTTTGGCCAGGATTTCCCCAGGCTCTAATCAAATGTAACTCCAGCAAGAACAGTTGTGTCAGCTGGTAAAAAAACAGCCTGTTTTCTCAAATGGAAAAATCTCACTTCCTATGGATGAAAAATATTTTGGCTCCACTAAACACAAATACAACCTTTTGGAAAAACCAGTAAGTTTTGTTTCCTGCCCACTTATTCTAATTTTATTAAGCCCTATAGAAATGGGAGCTATATTAATAGTTATCCAAATAGCAAGATATAGTGTTAGGTTTAGAGTCAGAGGCCCTAAGTTCAAATCCTACCTCCGTCATTTGCTCTCTGTGTGACCTTGAGCAAGTCACTTAACTACTGTGAACCTCAATTTCTTATCTATAAAATGGGGAAAGAAGAATCCCTTTTAGCTCTCAATCTATGATATCTACCCGTAAATCAATAAATCTAACGCTGAATAAATAATTATTGATTTAATATATTTCTACTTTGTATTTATTACTAAAGGGCTCCTTTTCTTTAAAAAAAATCTTTGAAATTGAACTAGGAATTTGAGACCCTCTTGTAGCAGCGGAGTTGATCCATATGTCCGAGTATACCTGTTGCCTGAAAGGAAGTGGACAAGCCGGAAGAAGACATCAGTAAAGCGGAAAACTGTAAATCCCCAGTATGATGAAAAGTGAGTGGGTCAGCTGAGTTGCACAGGATTCTTTGGGAGATTTAGACAGTTAAAGAGAATAGCTAATATTAGAAGAGTATATCATTTATATGCTCCCTTCCTGCTGGCATTCTGTGGATTGTTGTTGTTTAGATGTTTTCCAGTTGTATCCCACTCTTTGTGACCCCATTTGGGGTTTTCTTGGCAAAGATATTGGAGCAGTTTTCCATCTCCTCCAACTCATTTTACAGATGAGGAAACTGAGGCAAAGAGGGTTAAGTGACTTTCCCAGGGTTACACAGCTAGTAAGTATCTGAAGCCAGATTTGAACTCAGGAAAAGGAGTCTTCCTGACTCCAGTCCCAGCACTCTATCTACTACTTCACCACCTAGCTGCTTGTTCTGTAGGTAATTTCCCTATAGTTTCACCTAGACAGGAGCTAAAATCTTCCTGAAATGTTTTCCTTTAAAATGAGGTTATTGGACTATATATGTAGTGGCTAGCTACATGTCAGTGAGAGAACTCACTCTGATTAACCATTAGCATTTACTAAACCCTCATCTCTGTAGGGTAAAACATAACCAGGCAGTGTAAATTTGTCCACTAATCCCAAAACAGTTCTGGGGTTCCGGATTCTCTAGTTATTAGCTTGAAGTTCTCTTGTTGGTCATATGAAGTAGGGTAGCTGGGAAACAAGGCACTGAGACAGACTTTGACCAAGGTAAATGCATTATTTCTTTGAACTGTTTTCTTAGTGTTTTTCATAAACATTTACATATTTGTTCATTTATTTATCTTTGCCCCTTTTAATCAGCAGAATTTCCAGAAATATGAAAGGGGCATACTCTTACATACACACAGCAATTACGATAGGATATACATAGGTGTTGTGGTTTACCAAGTGCTTCTATAGAGCTTCTCAATTGACCCTTAACAATAGTTGTGGGACACAAATATGAGCTTGGTTTTCTGGCTTCTGGGTTGTCATTGTTGTTCAGTCATTCAGTTATTTCTGACTCTTTGTGACCCCATGGACCATCACATGCCAATACTGTCTACAGGATTTTCTTAGCAAAGCTACTGGAGTAGTTTGCCATTTCCTTCTCCAGTAGATTAAAGCAGAGGTTAAATGACTCATACATCATACAGCTAGTAAGTGTCTAAGGCCGAATTTGATCTCAGGTCTTCCTGACTCTAGGCCCAGCACCCTATCCATTGAACTACCTAACTGCCTCCTGGGCCTATATCCAATAAGAAAAAATAAATTTCACAAATATTTATTATGAAACCCCTACTCCTTTTCCTAACTGCTGTTTTGTAATATATACAATGTCTGGCACAAACCGTGTTTACCTTAGAAAGAGCTAGTGTACCTCCTAGAAGGAATGTTGTGAGGATTAAATGAAATAATGGTTGTAAAGCACTTATCACAGTGCCTGGCACATAGTAGGTATCTCCAAGGCATCTCTATATCATAGCATAGTGTAATGATTCATGTATTTCTAATGATGACTCCAAACCATCAGAAAAGGTGGGATTACAATTTTGTAATTGTGAGGGAGGGGCAAGCTTTAACTGAAATTTTGCTTACACAGAATAGAAACATGAATTTACAGCTGGAAGGGATCTTGCAGACTATCTAGGGAATCCTCCTCATTTTGCAGGGGAGGAAACTGAGGACCAGAGAGGTTGACTTGCCCAGGGTTACACAGTGAGTAAATAGCAGAGCCATGATTCATACCCAGGTCATGTGACTCTACAATATTTTTTAAAAAAATTCTATTTAGAGGCTGTGCCTATAGCAGGTGTGATAATTCTTGTGTGATCTTTCCTAATAAAGAGTATTTCTGGTGCACTAGCAAAGCAGAAGCCTTCAGGAGTTAATTGTTGATAAAAACAAATAACTAACATTTGGTTGTTCTATGTGTTATAGTATAGATCAACAGATACAATTCATCAGGAGTACTTAGGTTCAGCAAGTCAAGCATTTATTAAGCATGTACTGTGTGCCAGAGTTCAAATCCCAGTCCTTCTCCTTTCTATGGTGTGACCTTGGCCAAGTCACAGGACTTACCTATGTGAGCTTGGGCAGGTTATCTTCTCTGGGCCTCAGTTTCCTCAGCTGTAAAATCAAGGGATTGATGAACTAGATAAGGGACTAGGTGACTTCTGAGTTCTGTTACAACTCTATGGTACTATGTTATTCTGAGAGTGGTTAGGTAGCACATTGGATAGAGCACTGGGCCTGGAGTCAGGACGACCTGAGTTCAAATCTGGCCTCAGACACTTACTAGCTGTGTGACCTCAGGCAAGATACTTAATCCTGTTTGCCTTGGTTCCTTATCTGTAAAACGAGCTGGAGAAGAAGATGGCAAACCAGTCTAGTATCTTTGCCAAGAAAACCCCAAATGGGGTCACGAAGAGTCAGACATGACTGAACAACATGTCATTCTAGCTCTAACTCTATGGTACTACGGTAGTAATGGGTTTGGAGTCAGAAAGACTTGGGTTCAGATTCTGTCTCTGACACTTACTGGTTGTGTGACCTTGGTCAAGTCACTTAATTTCTTAATTTTCTTAATTTCTTAAGAAATTTCTTAATTTCAGGCAGTTTCCTAGTATTTATCTGCTAAATGAGAGTTTGGGACATGGTTTGTAGATCTGCAACACATGAAAAAAAAAATTGACATATTTTCTTTGAGGGTTTACCTGCTGACTTGATTATTTTATATTCTTAAAAGATTTGAATTTTGTATCCCTATGGAAGAAGTGAAGAAAAGAACTCTGGATATTGCAGTTAAACATTGCAGGCCATTTGGTTCACATAAAAGAAAAGAACTGGGCAAAGTAAGTATGTTAAAGCTCATAAGATTTAGATCTGAAAGGGTGCTTAAAGATCTCATTTTACAGATGAGGAAATGTCTTCATCATCACCCAGACAGGAAAAGCCCCACAGGTAGTAAGTAGCAAAGTTAGGACCCAAGTGCTCTGAGTCCAAATCTAGGGTTCTTTCCACTATACTCTTTGTTCCAACTTCTGCCACCCCTTCATTTACAAGCACCTTAATATTAGTGTTCTGTCTATCAACAAGCATGCAGAGCCCTGTATGCTACCAGCTGGAAAGAATGGCAATGGAATGAGAAGACTGAGGCTCTGGCTTCAAGATTAGGGCTGGTTTTGGTGGGGAGAGAAAAGAGGGAGAGAGAATCTATAAAAACAGCACAGTTACAAGGGCAAATTAATGTACAAGGCAAATATTGTTAAGCCACCTTTAAGGGGACTTCTTCCCTACTTCTGTTGTCCAGGTATTTAATTATATTCAGTATTATATTAAATGAAGCAACATATAGAGCTTGGAAATCTCAATACATGCAAATTTTTGTTATCTAGTATACTCTAGCCTTAACCTAATCATTGCAGTTTGCCTGGATTTTGCTCTGTGGAAACCTGACTTCGCAGTAAAGTAGGCTCCCCAATTCTCACATTCACTGACTCATCACACCCACCCCAGCTTCCTGGGGAAAGTTGCTAGTCATATATTTATAATAGGTCTTGAAATATAAAGGGTTTCTCAAAAAGGAGGGAAAGGAAAAAAAATACCCAATGTACCAAACATGAATTAGGTAGGTACCTTATTCCCATACAGAAAAGAAAATTAAGCAAAAGAGAATGCTGAAGAAAGGGAGGAAATGCTAAACAAAAAAGAATCATAACATGTATTAAAGAATGTCTTGAAGAGAATTTAGTTGTTTACCTATAACTATGGTTGCAATTCACTAGATAAGTCGCATCAAGGCTTGAGACAGTTTGGCAATTCTGCTAATTCATCATTTCAGGTTTCACCTTTGGCACTGGACATTGTCCAATCATACAACCAACGATGATCTTTCTGGTGGCCTCTTCCTAATGTCAACTCTTTCTTTGGAACTAGTTCACTCCCCCTACTACATACTCTTTCCCTACTGCTTCCTGGGAAGACTCTAGCTGTAATCACAAAGGGTCCATGCTAAAGGAAGGAAACACACAAGAAAAAGAAGCAAAGGCAGCCACGGCCCCTAATACAAGCCAAGCTGGTTGAATCCCCACTCCTAGTGTCAACTGAAAGGCTTCATCCAAGATGGCTGCCAGCCAGAAGCCATTTCTTTTTCAACCAGGTGTGGCACCCAACATCAACAATGAATGATCCTGCTTTAGCAGTCTATCAGGAAGCTCAGTAAATGAATCACACATGGCCCAAAGCTAACCCCCCGCATTCTTTGGTGGTTGGCAGAGGTGACTGAGTAAGAGAAGGGGACCTAATACATTTTTAATGAGACATTATCCACAGTACAGGTTAGAGACATTAATAGTGAGGGAACACCAGGGAGAAGAATGAACAGTAATTGTAGAAGTTGCTTATGTTTTTTCTGGGAAAAAATATTTTTAAATTAAAAATATTTTCTATAATTGTTCATAAATGAAATGATCAAGGGGATACTTTTAAATAAATGTAGACTTCTGAACTGCCACTGCTTCTACCATCAGCATTTTTCCTGTGGATAGGCTGATGTTGATGCTGGTCACCTGACTGTGACATTTTTAATGTGAAAATCCAAAAGGGCTAACAATCACACCTAAAACCTACAAAGCTTCATTTTTATAACTACAATATTTTGACTTAACCCCAATGAATTTCATTCAACTAGGCAATCTGTAAATTAATACTTACCGAACACCCGCCAATATTTACTGAGCACCTCCTCTGTGGATAGAGGTGGGGATACAAGCCACCCATTGGGTATTGTTTTGTTGTTGGATAAATAATTGACATTCATAATGTGATTGTTGTCCTGGCAGGTATTGATTGACTTATCAAAGGAAGATCTAGTCAAGGGTTTTACACAATGGTGAGTATACTTTTTCATTTGATCATGTTATTCTCTGTAACTATGTAAATAATTGCATTTTTTAAAATGCCTGGCTGGTGGTGATTTTCCAATCACACTAATATAGCACTTTCATTCAAGATGATATACTTTGTACTGATGTAGCTTAAATCATAAGGACTATCATAGCACATAGTAATATTTAATTAATCTTCCCAATCTCATGAGATTGAATGGGCAAGTTTTATGGCTCAATTTTATTGAAAGGAAAGCTGAGTTGCAAGGGAGGTTGTTAATTGTCTTTTATAACCCCTGACTGGTACCCTTCCCACCCTTAGATTTTAGATTCTTTTTTTAGGTTTTTTTTTAAAATGCTGTAATAGTTGGGGAGCTTGTGATCAATCCTATCCATTTACCAGTTGGCTGGCTAAGGTAAAAGGTGCTTTCTTTATAGCATCATAGAGTTAGAGTGGGGCAGGCCTTTGGAGGTCATCTAGTTCAACCTCACTTTACAGAGGCTGAGACTGAGTCTTAGAAAGGTTAAGTGATTGCCCAAGTGACACATGGGTGATAAGTGAGAAAGCCAGGATTCAAATTCAGGAATTTGAGGATTCCTTATAAAAGGAATCCTCCTCTGTGGAAGATCATTCAGCCCTTATGTTGGGCAAGCCTCTTTGCTGCTCTCTTAGAAAGGGCCGGAACTCTGAGCCTGGAATTTACAGAAATTTCTCCAGTTTTTGTTTTTAAGCTGTTTGGGTATAAGGAAAGGCCTTTCTTTTTCTTTTTGGGGGGGGGAGGCTTTTTCTTTTAGGGGTGGGGAGGAAGGGTGGTTGAATTATGAGAAGGATAAGAGTGGTAATGATAATGATACCAAAAAGAGAAAGAAAAGAATGTCAGTGAAACATTTAAAAAATTGCAAGAATTTCAAAAGGGGACAGAGACAAATCAGGGCAGTGTGGGAATTACCGTGTTAAATTTAATAGACACTGTAATGGTTGGCCATTTCCTTCTCCAGTTCATTTTACAGATGAGGAAACTGAGGCAAATAGGATTAAGCGGCTTGCCTAGCATCACACAGGCTGAATTTGAATCTGAGGCTAAATCTGAACTCGGGTCCTCGAGACTTTAAGTCCAGTGCTCTATCCACTGCGATTAGGTGTTGGTATTAATATCTGATAGTCTATAAGGAATCCTTAAATTCCTGAATTTGAATCCTGGCTTTCTCACTTATCACCCATGTATCACTTGGGCAATCACTTAACCTTTCTAAGACTCAGTCTCTGCCTCTGTAAAACGAGGTTGAACTGGACGGCCTCCAAAGGCCTGCCCCACTCTAACTCTATGATGCTATAAAGAAAGCACCTTTTACCTTAGCCAGCCAACTGGTAAATGGATAGGATTGATCACAAGGTCCCCAACTATCACAGCATTTTTTAAAAAATCATTTCAAATATAAGCTCATTGTCAAATAAGTTTTTAACTCCTTAACTTGTCCTGTCTTCTTTGCAGGTATGAACTGACAGCAAATGGCCAGCCAAGAAGTTGATAATGTTAGGATTACTACTCACCAAAGAATAAGCATACTTTCCTTTATATTAAAATGTATATATGTATATTCTGTATTTAATAACTGAGAATATTTAAGAAGTGCATGCATTCTGGTGTGAAATTTATAAACTACTTTTTTCAGTGTCTGATTAATATTTAGAAAGGATAAGATGTATGAAAAGGTGAGATTTCCTGAGGCTAGATTTAATTTGTTTAAATCCTGTACTAAGGAAATTGGGTGCACTGTGACTAGTAATAGTTTTATATTCACAAAGTGGATTTTTTCCATTTCTACAGTTACAGATAGTCTCTGATTTACAAATGATATATGCAAAGGAATGAATATGATTGGCTTGAGGTGGGGAGGAGCAAGGGCAGCTTCTGAATCACCCTTCCTTTGAGGGGCAACTGTTTTCCTAGGTTTGGAATACTTGGACAGCTTACTTATCCTGTGCAAATGTGAAGAATCAGCAAAGTGATCAAAGTACTAAGTTCTAAACTGCCCCACCACCACAACAATATAAGCATTCCTTGTGTCCTTCACTAGATTTTTTTTTTAAATAAATGGTTACATGTGACACTAGCAGTATTCAACTTCAGTACATTACCCCATCTCATGCCAAACTTACATTCTCATCCTTACCACAAGTAGCCTATTAGGACTGTAAGCTGAGAAGCACTTGAAAGCATTGTCCTTTCATCTTTGCCATTCCCAGTGCACTGAACATAGAAGCTTAATAAATGTATGGGTTTTTTTAATTGGACTGAATCAAATTGAACTGAATTGAATTAGAGATGAAATAGGCTTTTGTGGACTGGTCAGAGAGCCATTTATGATATTATTTCTAGGGGAAAATGCATTTATTATTAATTCAAAACTGTAAATTCAGGACTATATTATATTAATAGTAGGAATGGCAATTATGGTGTGGGAACTTGGAGAATTAGTCCTTATCTTTAATAAAGAGAGGCATAATCTGTTCCCCTATTTCAAAAGATGATTTTGGTCACCAAAGTAACCTTATGCTGCTTTAAAAGCAAAATATATAAAGTATTTGTATATATAGTAAGTGGTTTTTGCATTTTCATCTTTAATACTCTCTTTACAATTCATTATCTTAATATGCCCTACAAAACAACCTAAAACCTGGTCCTGCCCCATTGCTTCCCCTATTTTTGTTAGTAGGATTGTTGCAGCCAGACACCACCATAAATTTTACTCCTCTCTCATCTCATATCCCATTAGTAATCAAATCTCCCATTGAATCTTTTTTTTCTTCATTACCACTGCCACCATTTCATTTGAGGTGCAATTATGGCAATAGCTTCCTAATGCGTCTTTCTGCTTCCATTTTCTCTCCTTTCCTAATCCACCATGCAGATTGACCTTACCAAAACACCCCTTTCATCATGGCACCTCCCACTCTCAATCATTGGAGTAGTGGCTTCCCATTATATACAACATTTAGATTCTGGGGCCCTCCACATATAGACCAACTATATCTCTCACTACACTCCCTTCCCACCATCATATACTTGGAATGCTTTCTTTTCTCCAACTATTCAGATCCTAGATACCTTTCAAGGTCCAGGTTAACTATCATCCCTTTGGCAAAGCTTTCCTTGATAACTCCAATCCCCTCATGACCTCTTCCTCCTTTCAACTCCTACAACCCTTAACATCTTTCCACTCATCTGGCTTTTATGTACTGACTTGTGACATCTCTTGCACTGCTTATTTTTATTTAACATGTATTTATCTTTTCTGCTCAACCAGAGTGTAACTTCACTGAAGGCAAAGTTTATATACTTCCTTATATTCCTCATTTTATGTAACAGTACTATATACCTCATAAATATGCAATAAAATTTTTATTTATGCCCAAAATTTGTGTTGTTTTGGATGGTAACAGTTCAGTAAAATCATTACCCAAGTTAAGAAATTTAGAAACCATTAATAAGCCTATGGATGAGAGATAGTGTGGCAGATAGAGCAGCTGCAGGACGTGTAGTTAGTAGAAACCTGGAGCGAATTCTGGACTTTTACATGTATTAACTGGTATGATTTATGGCATCTAAACTCTTTGAGCCTTTTTTCATATATATATATGAGGTCAGGATAATATTTGCCCTAAAGACACAGTCTGGCCTAGTGATTAGAGCGTTGGTCAAGTCCCTTCTCTGGCACTTACTCAGTAGGTACACTGAAGACCTTCCCCACTTTCTCTGACATCAGGGGGGAACCAGTGAAGCATCCTACCCATCCACTTGTCATCCCTCACTCTTGCCACATAATCAGGCCATCTCTTTCTATCACACAACTGCTTGATGATATCTTTTATTTCTGTTCTTCAGAGTTCCTCAGTAATATACTACAGCCCGTTCACATACATCCTCATGACCATCCTGCATCCAACACAGAACTTTCTACTTACACTAGGTTCAATTCCGGCTACTTTTCCCATCCTTGTTCTCCTTAACGCTATTTCTAACAGTTCCACAACCACTCTGGTACCCTGATGTTAGGATCCAAATCTAAATGTGGCACTTCTTCTATTCTTGATGAAGAAAAATTTGTGCAAATGGTTTCTGCAAGTTATTTCCATTTTTCTTCTGTTCATAGTCCTTCCATTTTCATCCTTGAATCCCTTAGAGTTTACCCAGTTGGCTATCTTACCAAGCATTCTTTAAACTAGTTTTACTGTTTAAGCTGCCAAAGGGCTTTTTAACAAAAGACCAGATTATTTCAGTTACACAAGAATGAAAAGCTTTTGTACAAACAAAATCAATCCAACTAGGATAAGGAAGCTGTCAAATAGGAAAGAATCTTTGCATCAAATATCTCTAAGAGTCTGATATATGATACATATATACATATTACATGTTTTATATATGTATATATACACATATGTGATATATACATATAGATAGATAGATATGAGACCAAGAACCAATTCACAATGGATAAGCGATCAAAGAATATGAACAAACTGGTCTCAAAAAAACCTGGAAACTGCAAACCACGTGAAGTTGTTCTGAATCATTAGTATCTGAAATGAAAATCAAAACAAGTCTGACGTTCTAGTTCATATTCAGCAAATTGGCAAAGATGACAAAAGATGGAAAAAGCAAATCCTGGAAGGACTATCAAAAATGAGCATACTAAGTCACTATTGGGGGAGCTGTGAATTGTTCCAAACCATTTTGGGAAGTAATTTGCAACTATGTTAAAAAAAAAAAGAAGTAACTAAAATTTCCTTATCTTTTGGTCTAGAGATCCTACTGCATACACCTCAATGAGGCCAAGCTTTCCAGAAGGGCTTCATGTACACCACAAGATTCACAGCAGCACTTTTTGTGGCATCAAACAAATGGAAGCCAAGTAGATGCCCCATGAATTGGATGACGAATGACTAGAAAAATTGTGGTGCATGAATGCAATGGAATAGCATCATGCTATAAAAAAATGATAAATATAAAAAATTCAGAGAAGTATGGGAAGTCTTGTATGATACAGGGACTTCCAAAAAATTAACTACATTTAATAACAACCTTCCTCAAAACCATCTTATCTTCTTAAATGGTGGAGAAGAACATAATCACTTTGGGTAATATTTTTAATGACTGAAAACTACCTTGGTCAAAGAACTTCAGTATTTGTTGTGAATTCATTTAAACCTAAATACCTTAAACATACTGATGGGTAATACATGAATTTTTAAACACTATCATTTACAGACTAACAAATTAATAATATCACTTTTTCTTTTCTCTCAGCTTTTAAATGTGGTCTTGATACATTAATTATATTAGTTAAAAGCTGATTTCAAACTAGTAGAGTTCTAACTTTCAAAGAATATGTATATATAATACACACACACACACACACACCCCCCATCTCCTCTCTGCCTAAAGTCAGTCAAGAATACATTTAATGAGCCACGTCAGCCACTATTTTACCCTAAATGAACACACAATCCAATCAAGCTGCCTACTTTACTCCCTTCCAGATTATCTCTGCTGCCACAGGGTGATATCACTGTCAAATACCCGTAAGCCATGATGATGCACTTTGTTGTTGCTCTTCAGTTGTTTTAGTCAACATGTCCAACTCTTTGTGACCCCATTTGGGGTTTTTTTTGGCAAAGATACTGAAGTGGCAGTGGATAGAGCACCAGCCCTGGAGTAGGACCTGAGTACAAATCCAGCCTCAGACCAGACACTTGACACTTATTAGCTGTGTGACCCTAGGCAAGTCACTTAACCCCAATTGCCTTAGAAAGAAAAAAAAAAAGATAACTGGAGTGGTTTGCCATTTCCTTCTCCAGCTCAGTTTACTGATGAACTGAGGTAAATAGGGTTAAGTGATTTGCCCAGGGTCATGCAACTAGTAAGTGTCTAAGGCCAGATTTGAACTCAGGAAGATGAGCCCTTCTGACTCCAGGCTCAACGCTCTATCTGCTGCACCACCAGATGATGAGCTAGAATAGCTTCATAAGTTCCCTGTCCCTCTACTCCCCCCAACACACCCACCAGTGTTGTCTGAAATGACTTTCAATCTTGGAAGGACAGCACATGTGCAAACAAGAACATAAACCTTATTCTCAACAGGTAGGTATTAGAAAAAAATTGGGGGGGAATAAACACTGAGCTTTGACATTGGGTTCCTTTTAACTCAACATAGACCCTTAGACTAATTGCCTGGGGACCTGGAGTCTAGTCTTAGCTGTCAGGATATGTGCTTTCAAATTTTATTTAAAGACAGCCTGGTGTAGTGGGTAGAGAACTGGCTTTGCAGCCAGGAAGACCTGAGTTCAAGTTCTACTTCTGGCTTTGTAACCCTGGGAGAGTCACTTAACTTCTCAGTGCTCTAAACAACTCTCTTAAGGCTAAATAGCAAAGAAAGTGCTGACCTACCTTGGTGGAAGGAGTTTCCTCATTCAAGGAGTTTGCTATATCAATAAAATCACATGTCCAATTCTTGTTCCTATCCCTATCATTAATTCACTATTAGAATTAGTATAGTGCTTTATACTGTACTGATGTTATTAGTTTAAGAACTATAATTTCAGGGACAGATAACAGTGGTTCAAATTTTAAGTCACCTACAGGGCTAAATTAGACTAGACTATTTAAAAAATTATCCTAAATATCAAGCTGTCGTGAAGGTGTTAAACTGGTATTTCAGTAAAAAATATTGACTTGAGGTCAGTTAAAAAATATTTTAGTTCATTATTACAAGGCCATGGACAACAGTGAATATCTGAACAATCTGAAAAGTACTAATTACGCTAAAGCAAGAGCTCCCCTAGATTTTTTTTTTTTTTGGCAGTCACTGCAAGGTGACAACCTATGGATTCCCAAATTGAAGTTTCTTGATTTTTTAAAAAGTCTCTTCCAAGACCTGGTAGATTTTCAAAGTATTGTATTTAGGAGTTCTTACAAGGTCATTTGATCTGACAGATACACACTCACATTTTACAGCTTGTCATAGAAAGTGGCTTAACCTGCAAATTGAAGGCTAATTATAAGTATAATTGCAGTCAAGAGAAAACATAAATCATCAGGAGACAACAATGTTCTGACATAGTTATATAAAATATTTATTTTGGTCACATGTTCTAAAAATATATATATGCATATATACATGTATATATTACAATTGAGCTCTCAAACATACCCTTTCTTGAGGTAGTTATCATCCTATTTACTTACCTCTTATCCCATCATGGGAAGAAATTTTTAAAATGTTTTTCACCTATCACCCTTGACCTTTACCCTCCAATTTGAAACTGCAACTGCTTCTGCCAACAGCAGATTATCTACACAGAATGTTGTCCCTGGCATGGCATACAAAGAGTTAAATTCAAGGAGCAGCTTGCCACTGATTGGATTAGAGGAAAGAAAATTAGGCAGCATTACACCTCTACTTTCTCCTAGCTTCTTTTTGAAACCCTTTCCCTTTTCTTTCCTCCCCTGAGTTTGGGGGATATGGAATTGTTCATTCCCCAAACTTATTAGGGAAGTAATGTCATCAACAAGTCCAACGCTACTTCCCTTGGGCCAAAGATGTGAGAGTTCTAAATTTCAGATCTCAAAGGAAATCTTAAAGGCAAATACCTCCATACCAACACTTAACACATCATTACCCTCTGTTCCCAAAATATAAACAGCTTTCCTTACACCTTGTAAGCCAAGAACTGCTGAAGAAAAATTAGAAAACTCAAGAGTACAATTATTCAAGCCCCCAAATGATGCTGCATAATTCTGAAAGAGTGACAAATAATAGGGGATAAAAATATCAGAGACTAACTTTGTAAAGCAGATGATTAACCATGCCACTGATGTTCATTCAGGATGGGAAAAAGGTGAATTATACAAGTAAATATAAAATATATTACAGATTAAATTTACACAGTAAAAAAAGGTGGTTTCATTTTCTTCAGTTTGTAATTAGCTTTAATTTCTTTACTTCAGGAATAATGGCATCCAAGTTGTTGACTTCTGAAATGAAAAAAAAATGAAAAAGGTTGTAAACATTAAAAATACAATTAATAGAAAGTGCCATAAATATTAAGTCTCTTGACATAAACTGATGAAACTGTAGCATTTACTTCAAAATAGTCTACCCTCACACACTGTGCCTCACCCTGATTTTAACCTAAGATCTCATACATTTGCAAAACAGCCAATCAAAATTAGGAAAATTGGGACACAGGGAACCTATATGACCCAAACAGTGACTCAGTCTACGGCTGTGATTAATCTCTTTAACTGGGTGCTTTTTATCAACTGAGCTACTTGGCCTCAGTAATGAAAATGTAACAGGCTCTTTCTGCGGTGCTGTCACTAGATGAAAAGTCTTTCGTGATGGCACACTAGGCACAGACTGTCCTCAGTGCCACTACCAATAGTTAGAGTTAAGGATTTCTAATCCAAACTCTATAATTGATATGGTGCTCAATACATTGCTATGCCACAATGGAAATTTAAACAGTTGATCATTTTAAAAAAATTATTAATAATGTTTGCTCACAATTTATTTAATAGCAATCAACAAATTTGTGCTCAAAGAATAACTGAATAGGTGTTAAATGATTAGCCAAATAGGGACATCAATTATTTTTAATGCAATAGCTTTCTAAAATTAAATCCATTCCATTTTATGAAATCATGTTCTTCTATACAGAAGACAGCAAAAAAAAAGTATGCATTCATGTCTAAGCTCTTCCTGATTCCAGACTACATTTTTAACTTATTCTATTTTTCCTTATGACCACTGCCACAACCATGTGTACCCATTTTTTATTTCCTCAATACAGCATCTTCTACTCCAGCCTATTCAAAATGCTTCTATGAAACTTACTTTTCTCTTCAAATGTACTTAATGTCTCAACTAATCTGTGAATTTGATTTTATTCAGCTCTCATTAACTCTCGTTCCCTTATCTTTCTAAAGGGAATGCCTTTTTCCAATACAGTTTTCAACATGTATATCCTCAAGAGCTCCTTTTTTTTAAAAAAAAAAAAAGCTAGTAAAAAACAATAACAATCATATAATAAGACTTTTCCAAAATAGTATTATAAAGTAAGGAATTTTCCAATTTTGAAATGCAATCACATCTAAATTAAGGGTTTTGTCATTAAGCATAATCACAGCAGTCATGGGTTAAACAATATGCTTTTATTTACTAAAGGATGTGACTTAAGTCCTAGGTTTATTATATTCTTAAAGCATAATTACAATACTATGTTTCTTCCTATATATTAAATACCAACTTAACTTTCTCTGAAAAATGCCATGATGCTTGTTCATATATTATAACTTGAAGTAGACCACAAAAGAGATTTCTTCAGAGCTTAAACTTAATAACAAACAACAAAGTAGAAAAAATTTCTTGAAATCATAGGTCCTTTTAAAAATATCATCAGAGAAGAAATAATAAGGATATGGTGAAAAAATATATTGAATTCACCATTTCTAGTGGAAGTGCCCCAGTCCCCTTTTCATAGAGAGCTATATTCTACGGAACAACCTAAAGCAACCTGGATTTCAGTCTAAGTATTTCCACAAATGTTACTAACAGACTAGAGGGGGTGAAGTTTTGAAAAATAACTGTGTGGAAAGGCAATAAACTAATAACATGGAACTCTCTTTTTTCAAGTGCACTGATGTTAATAGTCACTGACATTTAATGGTTCATAAACGTTACCCCCACCAACAAGTTTAAAGCACAATCTTACCTAAAATCTGAAGTAGATCCTGTATAAAAGCCTGAAAGGCTGGGAAAAATTCATCATATTCTTCTAATTTATTAATAATGCTAGAAGAAAAGTTTACAGTTAATTATAACTCAGGATGATTGTATCCGACAAAGTACGTGAGGGATTTTTAAAACAGGTAAAAAAAAGGAAATCTAAATGACTGCCTATTAATTTAAATAGAAATTCCGCTTTTATGTACTGCAGCCATTCTTATGTCTGGATCTTGCCCTCTATCTTTTTATAGCACTTTTCTAAGTCAAAATACTTGTTATCAGGTTGGGGGCAGGTTACAAAATTAAATTTATTTAGATTATATTCCCTAACAGGAAACTTCTATTTACCCATGTCTTATAATTTCCTTTTTTTTTCCTAGTGAGCTCTAAAATAATTTTTGGTACGCTTTAAGAATTTTATAAAAATAAGTTCCTCCTATATTTTAGGATTCTAGCCTAAGTATACAATTGTTACTAATCAGTAAAAAGAACACAAAGGAGAAAATAATAAAAGTGGGACTTTTTTTCCTTCAGTCTAATGATTAAAAATTTCAGATCATGCAAGAGAGGTTTCCAAGTGATATGCAGTGATATCAGCTGCAACATTGTTTTTTCAAAAAGGAATACAGGGAAAATGGCTACAAAATTTCAGTGTAAAAATAAAAAAGAAACAGTCTGCTCTAGTTATAAGTAACCAATAACCTAGTTAATAATTAATCATTTGAAATAGGTTCTTAAATAACTGGAAGTAGACAGTTCATTTTAAACTGCTAGAAAGGTCTGTACTTCTTGCTATAGATTTTACTGGAAATAGGTTGAAAACAACAACAGTGAAGTGTTCCTCACTCACCCTACACAAAAACAGGCTCCTGAAATCTGTTTCTAGCTTGTAAATGCTTTTGCATTCTCTTACTTCTTAAGAGTATGAGGCTCTTAGATTTTCAAATGGACTTCTTTAAAACAAGGAATTCCAAGAACTGATGAACTCTTGAGTGCTATTTTCCTTGTGTGTTTTCTTTTGCATTATGGCTAATATGCAAGTACGTTTTGCATGACTTCACATGTATAATCAATATGCTGCTTACCTTCCAAAGCTTAGGGGAGGGATAGGAGGGAAAGAATTGGAACTCAAAATTTTAAAAAATGAATGCTAAAAATTTCTCAAAATGTAATTGGGAAATATTTAATGAAACAAATAAAAACACATTTTTTTAGAAAAATAAGGTACTGCAAATAAGGAAGACATGTAACTTATATGTGTTTAGAAAATTTAAATTCTCCCCTCAACACACTTTTACTGCTATTTTTGTAAACACTTAAAATAAATACCTTTGGATGTCCTGGGTCCCCAGCACCTGTTGAACATGTTTGCCCACATCTTCATTAATTATTTTACACAATTTCCCAACTGTATTCACCAGAACACTTAGTGATGATGAATTATCTAGAAAGAGGAGCAAACGGAGCTGTTATTTTTGAAGAAAGATTTTCCAAACTATGGTATGGAACAGTTTACCTTTCATGTGGTACAGCGGCTAGAGTGCTGGACCAGGAGTCAGTAAGAGATACTTACTAGCCGTGTGACCCTGGGAAAGTCACTTAACTTCGGTTTACATCAGTTTCCTTGTCTGTAAAATGGGGATAATAACAGCACCCTACCTCCCAGGGTTGTTAAGTGAATAATAATTGTAAAGTGCTTAGCACAGTGCTGGCACATAGTAAGTGCTATATAAATGTTAGTGATGATTTTATATTACTATTATTCTTATTCTCACTGCCATTTTCTTTCTCACACTACCAGTTTACCTACTTCTTTTTACTTTTCTATTAGTAATTCCTAGACGGGTCAAAATCAGTGTTGAAGAGTCATAGAATTCAGAGCTGAAAGGGGACCTAAAGGTTAGCAAGTTCAACCCCTTCCTTTTATAGTTCTCCTGAGACCCAAAAGGGGTAAGTGACTAGACCAAGGATACAAAGGTATTAACTATCAGCATGTGAGCTCACACTCGTTATTTTGACTCCAAATGCAGAGTTCTTTCTACAAGTGAATATCTTTACCTAGTTCTAGAATCTCATAGATATTTCTCACAGCATTATTCATTTCTCCAAGTCTGGTATAAACTTCATTCATTCGAGGATAGATTCCAGACACAGATGTTACATCAAATAACTTTTGAAAGTGATTAACAATGGCTTGTAAAGTTTCAGGGCATGGCACATCACTCTGCCAAAAAAACAAAAACAAAAACAAAAACAAAAAACAACCCAGAGTAAACATTTTACCTATAATACAAATATAACCATAACACAGCAAATGTACTATAAAATGATCATGACACTTTTTGATTTGGTTACCTTAAAATATTTGTGTTCTAAATATGGATTAATGGTTACCTTTTTCTTATGTTCAACTTCTTCCAAAATGTTATCGACAATAAATAGAAGATCTTCCACTTTAATGCCACCTTCATTCTTATCATATTGTTTCACATTATGCCAAGGCAACAACTTCTCTGACAGTTTTTCCAGGGATCTATGTAAGTCCTTTATAATAGAAGAAACTACACAGTATTACCTGTTTTAAAAACAATTCTTATGGGGCAGCTAGGTGGCGCAGTGGATAGAGCTCTGGCCTTGAAGTCAGGAGGACCTGAGTTCAAATCCAGCCTCAGATACATAACACTAGCTGTGCGACCCTGGGCAAATCACTTAACCCCAACTGCCTCACCAAAAAAAACAAAAAAAAAAAAAATTCTTATGTTTTCAAAAAACTTAATGCTAGACAATTAACAAGGCAAGTTCCCAAATGAACATACTGTTAAGTAACTCTGATTATAAACAGACTATATAAAGAAAAGAATAGCAGTAGGGTTTTCAGAAACTCTAGATCACTCAGGGGTTAACGTTTTTAAAATGATTTAATATATGATTTCTCTTTTCCATTAAAATCCTACTACTAAAGTGGCCTGGAGGTAACCCTGCATTCTCGAAGGCTATGCCTATAGAATCCAATCTTTGGCTCGTCACTATCTACCTAGAAAGAATTCAATTAAGAGCCTAGTAATGAATTCTATATCTACTGTCTGAAGACCAGTTTAGTGGAATTTAAAGAAGCTCCCCAACAAAAGGTTGGCCAATGATAATTAATTTTTTTAAATTTAAGATTCATTACAATGATCTACTAAGTTATGAGGGGTGTATTGATCTGCATCAATGAAGAGTGTAGCAATATGATTTCTCTATATATTTCTTATAAGTATATGTACATTTACAAAGAAATATAAAGGAAGTATACATACACATACGAAAAAATCTGGCTTTAAATAGTTACAAAACTGTAGTTCACTTTTTCTTTTTTCTTGACAACCTATGATTTATAAACTTCATAAAAAGCAATTAATACTCAATAGTTTGCAACAGATTTTAACTTATAAAAGAACTAGTTAACAAGATAATCTATCTCGGGCAGCTAGGTGGCACAGTGGTTAGAGCACCAGCCTTGGAGTCAGGAGGACCTCAGTTCAAATCCGGCCTCAGACACATAACACTCACTAGCTGTGTGACTCTGGGCAATTCACTTAACCCCAACTGCCTCACCAAACAAACAAACAAAAGATTATCTATAGTTATCTGAGCCCTGAAATACAATCTTCATCTATTATATCATTGGGCATAAAAATTTACAACTGTAGGACTGGCTAATTAACCAAAAATGATTAATGACCTAAAGACATTGTAATATTATTGATCAATAACCAAATATTTATTGAGCATCTACTATACAATGGATGCTATAAGTGATGCAAAAAAGACAGTTGCCACCTTCTCCAGTTTTCATTTATTCTTCCTGAGGTCTTCAAGGTAAGACTGGATGGGCCCTAGCTGGGCATGATGGTGAGGAATTCTTGATCATGTATCTTTAGACTAAAGGGTCTCTGAGATCCTGTTCAACTCAGACTCAATGATTCTGCAAACCTCACCTTTAACAGACATTATCCCTTTTATCTTCCTCACTTTTTAATAAATAGAACAGCTGAAAAGTAAGAGATTTAATGACTTGACTAAAATGGCTGTAGTAGCAAAGCTACTAATATAACCTACCATCTTATGGGTTGTGGATTCTCAGAAACTATAATGATGGTAATTCATTCAACAAATAGAATTCATGTGATAAGCACAAAATATTTTACTAGGTAGTAAGGAAAATACTAAGATTAAAAAAAAAACTCTTGCCCTAAAGAACTTCGTAATCTATTCTTTTTACTTTATAACACTGAGAGAGAAGAGAGAAAGGAAAAAGAGAAGAGACTACATCCAGCAATTTTATATTTTAAACTTAAATAATCACACACACACACACACACACACACACTTTCATAAATACATAAGGCATCTAACTACTTATTTGCTAGTCTGAACACTGCATTACTTTACGTGGGAAAGTGCATCAAAAATGGTGGGTTTTGATTTGAATAATATAATTTGGAAAACAGAAAGGGGAATTTCCAAATGTAATCAATGGCTGAAGCTAAGACATAAGATAAATGAGGCAAAAGCATACATGGAAGACAGAGAACAGATTTCTGGCCTATGTAACAAAGGAGAATACAATATTAGGCAGGACAACCCAGGCCCTGAAAGCCTTCGTTCTTTGCAGGGTTTTCTACAAGCAGGATGCCACATGGAGATAGTGAATAGTAAGGGGATAGGGAGGCTAGTACTAAGGAAGGCATACACTAGGTAAGAATAGTAGAAGACAGAAATGTTACAGATGAAAGATTGGGATCTGCGGTTTTCAGCTTTATAGAAAATGCAGCAAATTAAGTCTCTCTCATTGAAATCTCTATTAAAGTTCAGAAGCTCTGACTTTCAAAGGTTGCAAAGACTACATGCTTCCTTACCTTTAGAGATGTTAGCTGGCGTGCCCACATTTCTATTGTGGGAGGAAGATGCTCAAATCCACATTCCTGACTGTTAGCTTTATTATAACTCTGGAAGGGCCCCTTGCTCTGTTTGTATATTACTACTGGAGCTCTTGGATTACTTATAATTGAGTCGATCCTGGTTAAGATCTTTCAAGCAATAGTAAGAAAATAAAGTCAAAGCATTTAGGAAATGTTTACTTATGTTATTAAAAGTGTGAAAAAGAAGATTAATAATTCAATGTGACATTTTCCTTTAAGACTATCCTTTAAGGAGATCACTACTTATAAGCCTTTTGTTTTAATTTTAATCAACAATAAATATAGAAGTAATAACAAACAGGGTTACTCTTCACAGATTATGCAACAGAACCTAAAAGTAAATAGGATTTGAAATTATTTATGAATGATTTACTACATTATGTTTAAAAATGTTTTGTAAACTTAGTAATACTCAAAGAATACAAATAAATAACAAAACAAATAATAAAAGTTTAAACACCACTGTTTACATTCTGATTTAAAATAAGTTTTTTGTCACTGTTTAATACAGTTTGAAGTCAATATGCTTGTTCTTACCCTGTTCACCTCATTTTGCATCCCCCATTGCACAGGGTAAATGATTAGCTCAACTGGTGGAGTACTCAACTGGCACAGCAGAAGTATTGGGATTGATGCATGAAGGTTCCAACTTTGAGAGGCAGCATGGAGTAGTAAATAGGAAGACCAGATTGGACTCCTGCTGAAGTATATTTGCTTTGTAACCCAGGGCAAGTTATTCAACCTCTCAATACCCAAGGCAATTCTCTAAGACTATAAATTGTAGAGGTTATCAGCCTGCACTGGTAGAAGGAGTTTTCTCACTGTAGGAGTTCCTTATGGCCAATGAAAATCACAGGTCCGTGCCCTATCCCTATATAAAATTTCTAAATTTTTAAGCATTTTTGTAGCACAAGAGTACTGTATTCCTTTTTTTTTTTTTTTTTGGATAAAACCTCTGGTTTTTTTCGGGGAATCTCACAGTAAAGAAACTCCCTCTTGAAATTTGAATGGCCTAGGACAATTATAGGTTAAGTGACTTGCCCAGCATCACATAGGTAATATGTGTTAGAACCATGACTTGAACGAGCTCTTTCTACTTTACTGCTAACTTTTTAAGTATATAACTATACATGTGTGTTATATATCTATATTACATTTACATACCATAATCTATTTGGCCAATACCAACTGCTGAGATGCATAAGTAGCTTCAGTCCTAAACCATTACAGTAAAATGGTTATGAATATTTTTGTTCAGATATGTCTTTTTTCCCCCATTATCATTCAGACACAGCCCCAGCAAGTAGAATTACTGGGTCAAAAGTTATGATAGCTTAGTAATCTTATAATATGTGGTGAAATTACTCTCTAAAGAGCTCACACCACCTACTGCCCTGCCAACAATATAATAAAATGCTTGCTTTTCCTTTGGCCTTGATAACACTGAAATTTTGTAGCTATTTTATCAGTTGGTTTAATTTGTATTTCTTCTAATACTGGAAAACTTGGAACAGTTTTTTAACTGACTGACAACAATGAGTATTCTTTTATTTGAAAACTGTTCATATCCTTCGACCACATCTCCATTAGTGAGTGAATACTGCTCCTATTCATTACAGATAATGCACATCAGATTGTTTTATTTCAAATATTTTTCCCAATATACTTCTTTGCTTTTCATTTTGAAGTCAGTCCTACTTGTAATCCTGTTATTTTTGTATTCTAATCAAGCATCCATTTTATCTTCAATAATTTCTTCTTTTTGATAAACACCACAACTGAAAGGAAATACACTATTTATTTTTCTCCTGGTTTTAAAAAGTATGTGTTTCAATCATTGATTCAAATGAAATTTTTTGTAGATATATGGTATAATGTTCTAAGCTAAAACTATTTTTTGCCCTTCAACGATCCCATTTTCCCTTGTTTTCACTAAATAATGACTCCTTTCCTCAGTGTTTTTGAGTCTTGATTAGCCTTAATTAGCCTTAATTTGTTAAATGAGAGGCAGAGTGGTATAATGTCAGCCACTCAGTCAGCTAGTCAGTCAACTAGCATTTATTAAGCGCCTATGAAGTGCCAAGTACTGTGCTACTAGCTGAGGACACAAAGAAAGGCCAAAAACACCAGTCTTTGCTCTCAAAGAGCTCACAGTCTCATAGGAGAGACAACACACAAACAACTATATACAAACAAGATATATGCAGGATAAATCAGGGGTGGTCTCTGAAGGAAGGCACTAGGATGAAGGAGGACTGGGTGAGGCTTCTTGCAGGAAAGAAGAATTTTAACTGAGTTCTGAAGGAAGCTAGGAGGCAGAGCTGAGAGAGGACAGCATGGCAGACAGCCAATGAAAACTCTCAGAGTTGGATAGTGGATAGAATCCTGGTATTAGAATCAAAACAAATTGTGCTCAAGTCTAACACATGCGGACTGTCATCCTACGCAAGTGACTTAATCTCTCGGTGCTTCCACGCATTTCTCTAAGGCTAGAAGCTGCCCAGTAGGCACCAACTTGCATTTGGCAAAGGGAATTTATGCGCTGATAGTTCCCTATACCAACGAAATCATAAAGCTGGTCTAGTCTATTAAATATATTAGGTTCTATTTCTGTTGTTCTCCCTTTTTTTATCCAGTATCCATTTTTCTAATTTACAATTGCAAAATTCCTTTTAAAATCTGCATTTCATCCATTTAATTTTTCATGGGTCCTTCTGATATTCTTGGTGGCAGGAACAACTAAATATTTTATCAAACCATCTCACATCAAGATATACCTGACAGTGCAGCTAAATAGCCACTAATGATGATAGCTTACAAGCTCTAACAATTCATCAACCCATACTCATCCTCTTGCAAAGATAAGCATTCAGGGACTCTTGCTTAAAGTAAATTAACAATGCAGCAATGGCGTAGACTGCTTAGAAGTTGAGACAAAATATGTTTGCGGCCTACTTTTTATTAGCTATGGTCTCAACCCTTGTGTTTATTTTAAGTATCATCTCTCAAATTATTCCTATATCCTTACTAAGAGGTCAGCTTTATGGTATGGTAGTAAAAATGACTTGCTTTAAACTGCCCATTCTTATTTAATTTGATTTAAAATGTTTAGTAAGTACCTGTTTATGAAAGGCAAAACGGTTGTCCAGGACACAAAGACATTTAAGACACTGTCATGTCTCAAACGAGTTAAGAATCAAATTTTTGTTGTTCAATCGTTTCAGTCATATCTGACTCTTTGTAACCCTGTGATTGTTGATTTTAAATTCTCATAACACTGCTTTATACTTCTCTCTCCTATTAGAACATCAGCTCTATATGAGCATGTGTATTAAAACAAAATAGCATTAATTTTTTTGTGTAACAGTAACAACTTGCCCTTACATAGTACATTATGCTTATTTGTTGAACTGAACAAGAGAAAACACTAAGGCTAAAGAAGGTATGAAAGATAAGCTTTCTTAATTTTACCATCTAAGATTAAACTCTTAAAGGGGAAGAGAGAAAGAGGGAAAATTTAGGAGCAAATTTAGGAGTAAAGGAAAAATTGGTGACATCATAGGCAAGGGAAGGCAGGACAGACATACATATTTCACAAACACTAAGTTCTAACTGTTCATTATGCAACTGTCATCAATTTGCTGAAAACTCAAATGCATTTACTTCCTATTTAGTACCTTGAAGTATTTCTGGTCAAACAGGGCCTGGCGCTGGCTTTCTATTTTGCTGATCTCAGAATATTTGTTGTCTAAGTTCTCAGATTTATCTTCTCTGATGAGTTCCTGTAATCTAAATACCAAAAAAAAAAAAAAAAATCAGTCCACACAAAATTCCTCTAGAGGACAATTAGCTATAAAACACCAAGGTGTCTAAGAAATAAAACAATAATCAGATTAGATTTATATCACTTAGATAATATGATTTAAAGTAAAACTTTACTCTCAAAATATGAATCTCACCACCTGTCATATTACTTTTAGATCCCAAAGACGTCTTTCTTTAATAACTACCTTATAAAATGCAAATACTACTGGGAAGGCCATATCTTAAACGATCAACAGATAGGTTGGACAACTTGATTTATAATCACAGATTCTTAAGATTTGGAAGGACACTTGATAAGTCATGTGGTTCAATCTCCCTTCCATCTAATACAAGAATAACCTCTACTATATCTCCAAAAGATGTTCATCCAACCTCTGTTTAAAAGTTTCCAGGGACATAGCTCATCACTCTCAGAAGCATGCCATTCCACTGTCAAACAGCTCTTAAAAGTTATAATGTTCTTATTTTTATTGTCCTGAGCGTAATTTTTTCTTTAAAAAAATTAGTTTATGTCTTTTGTTTTTATATCCATCATTTCCCAATATGCCCCCTCACACACATACACCCAATGAGCCCTATCTTATAACAAAGAAAAATAGTTAGAAACAAAAGACATAGTACCAACATCTGACAATAAATGCAACATTCTGCATCTATTCTAACAGATGGAGGAAGATGCGTTTTCTCATCTGATTTTTCTGTGGGGCCAAGATTGGTCAGTACAATTACTCAGCTTCCTTTTAACATTTTTTCATTTACATTATTGGAATCAAGTATAAATTCTCCTGATTTTGTTCACTTCATTCTGTACCCACTCATACAAATCTACCTACATTTCTCTGGATTCCTCGTATTTATGATTTCTTACAGAGCAATAATATTCCATTACATTTGTAGATCATGATCTGTTCAGTCTTTTCAATGATAAGCACACATTTGTTGCCAGTTTTTTGCTACTACAAAAGGTGCCAAGCAAAATTGCGTTTGTTTGTTTTTTTTTATTTGAAAGTCTCAGTATATTTCTTTAATCTCTAACAATTTTAGCCAGAATAACTGAAAATGTTTCTTGGAGGTGAGAATTTCTGTTGGGCATTGGAGGAATTACAGGATTTGCTTTGCCAATCAGGTAGTCAATAAGCATCTATTATGTGCCAGATAAGCACTGGAGATACAAATGTAAAAGCAAAGTCCCTGACCTCAAGAAGCTCACATTCTACCGGAGAGACATGTAAGTAATTATGTACATACAAAATATATAAGAGTAGATGCAGGGTAATCTCAGAGAAAAGACACTATTGGGGGAGGGAAGTAATGCAAAAAGTCTTTCTGTAGAAGGTAGGATTTAAACTGAGTACAGAAGGAAGCTAGAAAAGCTATGAGGTGGAGTTGTTACAGGAAAATATTCCAGACATGGGCCACAACCAGGCAAAGGGATGGAGTTGGGAGCGTCATATTCAAGCAGGCATACCTTGAAAGAGAATATGGTCTCTTTAATAAACATAATTACCACTCCTAATACCACCAACTCTAACAAAAAAAAAATTCTGTGGCTAGTATCACCTCCGTTTAATGTCATTTGTAACCCACCTACATATTTCATATCTAACCTGGTGCATCTAATATGAAATCATGTAGCCACATTAGATAAATAGATAACAAAGCAATAAAAGAAAGCAAAACAAAAACAACATAATAAATATATTTAAGTAAAATATAATTACTTTATGTTCTTCTTAAGTGCCTTCTCCAGTTTCTTCACCTGTTGTTTATAAAGTCTTAAATCATGCAATGAGGGCCTATTAAAAATAAATTGTTAAATATATTCAATTTTGCTAAGAAAACAAAAAAGATCAAGCCTAATAAAACATTCCCTAAATGCAACAGATTGGATATTAATAGAAGTCATTCATAATAAAAATAAAATTACATTTGTTCAAGATAGCACACTGTGTGGATGTTCAGAGGTGATCCAATGTGGGAAATCAAACCATGTAAATATTAGTAGCATATCACAGCTGAAAAAAAGAGTATCTCAAATATCGCTTATCCAATATCCATACTTCACCTCATGTATTTCTCCATACTTCCCACAATCAATCAATATATATTTATTAAGTGACTATACTGTGCAAGGCTCTGGAGATACAAGTACAAAGGTATACCTAATTCTCCCTCTCTACTCTTTGAATTCGTTCTTCTTCAATCTAGATGCCTTCATCATTATTTCCCCTTCCCTAAACCTGAACTCTTGTTTCCCTGAGATACACCAGCAGGATCTACAGTTGGGATGGCTAAAGAGGGAACATTCAACAGATTCCAAGTCTGATAACTTACACTTTTCTCACCTGCTTTCTAAATCTTTGCGGAGATTCTGATTTTCACATGAAAGTTTATCGTTCTTGGCTTTGACGTCTCTAAGTTGATTCTGGAATGACTATAACACATATCACACAGAGTCAATAAATCTGTGAATTACTACCTAATGTTTAAAGTAAATTTTCATTAGTCATGGATTCTCCATACCATGAGGAGGTTTTTATAATGTGGTGTACCATCCAGATCTACAAAGTCCTCTTTTCCTCCTTCTTCCATATCTGTATCTTCTTTACAGTGCCTATGAAACAAAAGGTAAGCCTCTTCTGAAAATTCTTTATGTACAAAGGTATAATTTAGCTAATAAAAATCAAGCCAATTAAATAATAGTTAAATACATTCAATATAAATTAAAATTAATTCTCCAAAAAAATATCATTTTCCAGTTGCTCTTGCTCAGGAGTGAGTAGATTTGCTTTCTAATGGAGAGTTGTTACATTGCTATTTCCTTCCATGCCCTTAATTCATCATGATAAACAGCCAAACTCTTCTGGTTGACCAACAGCACCTTCAAACTAAATAGTTAAAGCCTGATCGATGATAAAAGATCAGCTTAAATATCTGATACCATACTCCTGTGGTTTTTAAACTCTCAAGATCTTTACAGCTATATTGTCAATTAAGGTGCAGAGTAAATTGTAATGTATTAAGACAGAGATTTCTTCAAATGTATGCCTTCTACACATAATCTTCTGTTTAGTTTTGCCAAAATCTTTATAGGTTCTAATGGAGTAAGAGTTTGATTCTAAGCAGAACCTGTGTCCCTTTGCTTCCAATATAATATGGGGTTCTTACTATTCAGTACTCCTACACATTTTGCCTTTTTCCTCCACTGACATGTGGAAAGCTCAGTAGGTCCAACAACGATATCAGCACTTCTAACATTATGAGTAGCAATAAAGGTACATATCGAGAAATTCTGCCTTAACTTTAACCAGGTAGATTGACATTTTTCCTTGGTTTAAACATCATACCCAAAGAGAAGTCAGGGGAGAGTCACAGAGGAACTCTGCCTCTCCTCCTAGAGATCACTCATTTTACTTCTTTTTATTCCTAAAACAGTATTTTTGAACATCATTTCCACCAAGTGGATAGCATAGAATATAACAAGTATTCTACTGAATACATTTCCTGCTAAGATGTGTCTATACCATCTCAGAATAAATTCATCCTAACCTAATAGATTTTTTATTCCTGTGTTATTTTTCCAATTACTTAATTTGTTTAATTCTAACAGGTTAAGGAAATACTAGCACAAACATTAGCAGCCTATCACATATAATCCCATCTGCCTTCAACAGGTAAAAAGCAGGCAAAGTGACGCTGATATGCAATCATTTTACATTCTTTTTTTCCCTCTCTTCCTAAGCTACGAACCGTGTTAGTAACTAACTGGTTAGCCCTGTGCTGACAATGTCTTTTGCCTTATTTCTTTTTTTTTCCTCAGGTGGACCCTCAGACCATCTCATACCAAAGATTCCTTCCCTCTTGGTGGGAAAATTCTACCTACTCTTGTACTTATCTATCAGTGGCATTCAGAAAGCTACTCTGTACAGAACTCTGGAAGTTCTGTAAATTGGATATCTGTCAAAGAGGTCCTATACCTCCAAGGATCAGTGGCAAAAAAAAATCTTGACTTCCCTAGTTCTGTAAATGGTACTACTATTCTCTCAATTAACAAAGCTCAAAACTTGAGAGCTGTCTTTTATTCATCCCTATCCTTTATTCATCATATTCAATCAATTATCAATTACTGTTGAATAGTCCTTCAAAACATCTTTTAACTACATCTTTTAATTTCCATCCTCCCTGCTGCCACCTACCCGTTCAAGCCTTTATTACCTCAGCATAGACTATTCCGATAGCCTCTTAACTGGTCTCCCTAATTACCATTTCTCCCAAAAACCTGCATGTCACTATCAGATTGTTCTGATACTTTGATGGATCCATAATTATCATCAGTGTGGGCGTGCCATCCATTGGTGATAATTACAATCCTTCCACACCTTCTGATCCTGTGCAATTTTTGTCTATGTCTTCCTATAAACCTCCTACAGAGGATCAACCCAATGTGCTAGAAATCTTCCTTTGGTTCTTTAAGTCTTTTTTGTTGTTGTTATTCAGTTGTTTCAGTCATGTCTGACTCTTCATGATCCCATTTGGAGTTTTCTTTGCAAAGACACTGGAGTGCTTTGCCATTTCCTTCTCTAGTTCATTTTTACAGATGAGGAAACTGAGGCAAATCAGATTAAGTGACTTGCCCAGGGTCACACAGCTAGTAAGCATCTGAAGCTGGATTTAAATTCAGATCTTCCTGTCTTCAGGCCTGATGCTCTATCCATTGTGCCACCTAGATCTAAGATCCACAACTCCATTTCCACTCACATTTCTTTCATGATGACTTATGACATATCTCATAGACAAGTTATATTGGTGATAAGCCACAGCACACTTATGTCAACTTCCATTACCCTTTAGTTTACCTGATATTGTGATTATTCTGAGATTGCAGGCTTTCATAATTCACAGTCATATGGTATGACTGAGAGAATACTGGAGTTCCATAGGAGAGCTTATGCTGGAGATCACTGAAAGCACTGTTTTCCCAACTGCAATCTAGCCCAATTTCCTATTCTTATTCACTTCTCAGTCCAGTTCATTATCTGTCTAAAGGGCTTATCACACACACACACACACACACACACACACACACACACACACACACACAGTCATGTCCAACTCTGTGATCCCATGGAATTTTCTTAGCAAAGATACTTGCCATTTCCTTCTTCAGCTCATTTTACAGATGAAGAAACTGAGGCAAAATGGGTTAAGTCACTCCTCAAAAATCTTTACAGTGGTTCCTGACTATCAAGGCCTTACTCCCAACCTACATTTCTTGTCTTATCTCCCAGGTCTCTCCTTTATTCTAGCTTATGTGGTTTATTCCTTGCCTTCTGCATTCCCATTCCACACCTTGTTCTTTTGTGCTTATGGCTATACTGTTCAAAGCCAAACCTTTATAATGCCCTTCCTCTCCATCTACTCTACACCCTTCGAGACTCAGTTCAAATCCTCATCAAACCTTCCCTGGCTGCTCCAGCACAGAATGACCTCTCCCTCTGAACTTACTGGCTGTGCCATTCATTTGGCTATTGTGGGGCATCTTTCCATTGTTTTTTTTTCAATTATGTATTGTTACTGTTTAAACATTTTCCACAAGTTTCTATCTTGTTTCCCCAAGTAGATGCTAAACTCCATGAGGATCTTATACTTTTTTGTATCCACTATTGTCACCCTGCACATCACTATATATACACTAAGTGCTCAACTTGAGATGAAAATCCAAATTAAGTGCAAATGAAGATTATTTAATACATGACTTCAAAAGTGATACAGTTTTCTTGGTCAGATGATACAAGTAATTACGACCATCATTACTGTTTTCCAAGAGCCCAACGAGATGTCAAATGAAACCTCTGCCACCATGCAGTTCAGACAAGTCACAAAATCAATGCTCTAATTGTAACATTTATAAAAAGCAGAAAATCCTACCTATGGGCATATAATGCTTATAAAGTGCATTGATGTCCTCACATTAAAGGCACTTTATGGGATACTGGCCTCCAAACAGAATAGACCCATCTCCTTAGATTATTTTTGCATTGAATATGCTTTAGTTGCTTTAAGTTGGCAAAAGCATATTCTTTGGGTTCATTCCTTAATCAGAGATAACAATTCTGTTCATATATGCAAATCTGATTTTTCATTTTTCACTTTTGAGTTTTATCTTTACATGATACCTGTATCATTACTAGACATTTTGTTAAATGTCCAGTTTAGAGATATACATCAAATAAGCACTGAATAAAGACTGCCTGAGTATAAATATTGAAATGGATGCAACTGTGATTAAAGCCAACAAACAAAAAAGAAAAGCTTGTTTTTACTATTAGCAACAGACTAGTGATTTACCAAGTATACAGAATTTTAACATTCCTGCATAAGGCCACTCTAAGAGTTTCTTCAAGAACCTTATTGTGGTGTCAAATGCTGGTCAACTTACAAAATTTCAAAAGACAGCATGAAAATTTAAACAACCATTTTACCTAATACTTTTTTCTTATTTTTCTTAAAATTGGATTTAATTCTACCTTAGTTCCTTTTGAATTTTCCTAATTTTGGATTCATAATAATCAATCAGGATAAGCAACCTGGAAAAAATAAAATACATTCAAAGTTTTCCTGAATGCTACATTACAATATGATTTTTGATATATGATTTCAAAATTAAGTAACAATTTTGTTAACAAATGAATATAACAGTTTGTTCTATTTAATATCCCATTGCCAGAGCAATGTTAGATGAAAATTCTCAGTTTATATATTAAGATCAACACAGAATTTAAAGCCTTAAAACCAGAATCCTTTTTTAGACTTTTTCTAATCACGTTAACCTAAATCTTAAAGAAATAATGCCCATCACTTTTAATTTCATGATCACTAATGTAATTTCTAGTGTCAATTTCTCTAATTTTTAAGACATAAAATGACATACTTTTGATATAGAATTTTGCTGAAATGAGACAAAGGAAAGAGTCATTTGCCTTGTTTTTAATCTTTTATATAAGATAAGCCCTTCTCAACTGTTCAAAAAATTTACCAGATTTATGTTAGCACAACATTCCCAATTAAGATTGTAAGAGGTTTAAGTAAATTGTCAAATAAACTATCACTTATCAATTTGTTAAAATATTTTAACAAACTTATAAATTTTAAATAATTTAAATGGAAATGACTAATCTTTTCTACATACATTAAGAAAAGGTTGACAACGCAACAGTATCACTTCCATAATTCATCAATAAAAAGTAGTCTTGAGTGTCATAATTTCTAAGCTAGGATTAGAAAGCTATTGGAATCGAAACATTGCTTAGAAGCCTCAAAACTCAATGATAGAGCTACAGTAGTTACTAACAAGATTTTAGAAACTTAACAATAATCCTTATCAATCTTGGTGCCAAAGAACAGAGAATGAAACATCTCTCCTGTTGGTATAAACACTGGGGACAATGGGTACAGAACATGCACACTCTGTTGGTTTCAGGTTTTTCTTTGTTACAAGGGAAAGTTCAATGAGATGGAAGGTAGAGGTCAAGGTCATGGAAATTGAGTGGGGGAACATTTATTTGTAAACGACTAGGATGAAAAATAAAAGGCACCAATAAAATGTATTTGAAATAAAAAAATTAAACTCAGAATTCAAAAAATATATTCTGAACAAGTTCACCATACAATATGGAGCTGCTCTCAAACTATTTTCTTTATTGTTTATCAAATTTAAACTTTTTTCATCTAAATTCTAGAGATTATAATGCTTTACATTATAAATGAGAAACTTCTGTCCAAAGTAGGAAATTTAACCAATTCAATCTCATTTAGCACAACTTAATGCCTATAAAATTTCAGGCTAAATGCCTCATACCCACATACTCATTCAAGATCAATCATTAAAAATTCTCTTATCAGAGAAGGAAAGGTTCTTACAAGACCACATATTTTTCCAAATGCAATAACCACAGCAGGATGAGAGAGGGTAGAAAGGTGAAGGGCAGAAGGAGGCAGTTGTGATTGGCGAGGATTCACTGTAAATCTCGCTGCCGGAATAGAGATGTTTGACCTTCTCCAAGCAAGGAAGGAAGATGGCACCAAAAGGCCAGAACCTAAAAAGTAGAGTCTATATAGAACAGGAACTGAACAAGGAGGAAATGTTGGCTTTGTCCTCTTCTTTATTCTCCCAGTGCTCCTTTATTTTACTCATATTTTTTTTCATCCCTGCTTTCATTACTCTTTCTCACAATATTGATTATTTTGTCTTGCTACAAATATTTTTGTTGTTTCTTTTGTTGAATAAAATGTGTTTCCTGTTCTTATTTTAAAAGCCAGATGTGCTAAATATTTTACATTTATCTCTCTCTTTCAAAAAACTAATTTCAGTTTTCATTTACAAGTGTTCTTGGTTTGCTTTTTTTTTTCCCCAGTGATCCCTGAAAGAGAAAAGTCTTCACTACTGTTCAATATAAATAGGCAAACCAATTCACTTAACAGCTACGTGAAATCGAATTTTAAAAATCATAACAGACCAAAATTTAAATCAAAGTAGATTTTAAAAATCATAGTAAGGGTGACTATGTATTAATTTAACTAGAAAACTTTACTGTTTATCCACGACAGTCTGCGTTGCTTGTTTGCAAAGTCGGTTAAAAACTCTTTTCTGAGTGGCAGCACGAAGTTCTTCTTCTTTCCGTAATTTGTGAATTTCCTTTTGCAAACAAGAAAGAGTTTTTTGTTGCTCCATCCATTTTTGTTCACACTGATGGTATTTTGCCTGTAGAACAAAACAAAACAAAACAAAACAAAGCTACCAATTATGGCATGTATGTGACATAGTGTTTGGAAAATGGTGTTTTCCAAAGACACTATTTCTACAGTTAATACCACCCACCTTCTCTGCATATTCCTGCTGCTAACCTAGCTTCAACTCCAAAAACATAAAAAGGTTAATTACACATTCTTGTCAAAATATTTGTTTTGTTTAAAATACAATTAAAGTGACAAAATGATAATAAGAAAATATATTAAGTGTTTTATAGAAGAGAAGGACCACAGAAGAGGAATGAGGAGTAAGGGTAGCGTGCTCAGGTCCAAGGATGGGAAGAAGAAAGTTTATCAATAGTATCTATAATAACCTAGCTAGCTTAACCTTAGTTTTTCAGAATGTATCACCTTATTATTCATAATCATTTTATCTCAAAGAATAGAGATCAAGGAAATGGGAGTCCTTTTCCTTAAGGAAACAGAAAAACAGGATTTATTGGACACTTACAGGAGGAGAGCCACAAGAATACCATAAGAATGGCAGGCTGGGGGGCAGCTAGGTGGCGCAGTGGATAGAGCACTGGCCCTGGAGTCAGGAGGACCTGAATTCAAATCTGGCCTCAAACACATAACACTTACTAGCTATGTGACCCTGGGCAAGTCACTTAACCCCCACTGCCCAACCAAAAAAAAAAAAAAAAAAAAAGAATGGCAGGCTGGCAGAGTCCAGGTTAAGGAAATCAAAGGATGAACAGTATCTAATAATAATAATATGTAGCATTTATATAGCACTTTAAGGTTTGCAAAATATTTTATAAATATTATCTCATATGGGCTTCAGAACAATTTTGGGAGGTAGACGATATTACTATTTCCATTTTATAGATGAACAAGCTGAGGCAAAGAGAGGTTAAATGACTTGCCCAGGGTTACACAGATTAGTGAGTTATCTGAGGCTGGCTGTGAACTGGCAACCTAGCTGCTTAGGAGTACTACTAATACTAGAAGTATTTAGAGGTTTCCAACAGAGATTGGAGAACCACTTAGGATCCAAGATTTGGAACCAGAGGAATCCTCTCAGAGGTCACCAAGTATATAAAAAGTTGAGGAAACTGAGGCCAGGGAATTTAGATGACTTGCCCAAGGTCATATGGGATTGCTGTAGAAGTAATTACTTGTTAGAAGACTATGTAGCAGAAGGCGCTGGAGGAGGATTTGAACTGAATAAGGAGAAAGTAATTATAAAGGTGACTGGAATTGTAAAGAAGGCCAGAAATTGAATTTCGGAAAATTTAAGAAAAAGTTAAAGAAGCATGAGTTGAAATGAAGGAGGGGGAGAAGGGCTTAATTTCAAAAACAGTTTAATATGAAAAAGAAATACCAAAAAGAAGCTGAAGAAATTAAAGACTTAAGAAGAGGGTTGATAAGACAGGGTGGCTAAGTAACAAAAACTGGTAGGACAAGAGGAAAATAGGTGTAGCTGTCACACTGTTGGGAGCTTCTAAAGAGAATGCCAAGATGTTAATGAGAAGAGCTGTAATCACTCACAAGCAGATTAAATGGCAAAGAGTGATATCAGTTCCATTATATGTGGACAGATGGGGAAATTTTACAGTACTCCGCAATGAGTGCACAACATCTGTATTTCTGACACGGCCAATAAGGACGTACAGGGCAGTCACTCTACAACCAACTCAGATTTTTAAAAGACATGTACAGAAGATGGAAAGAAGAACAGATAATAGATTGTAAACATGAATGTATGGAATAGCACTACATGAATAACGATAACGTCAAGAGTGCTAAAGCTCAGAATGAACTGAGACTAGCTAAAGACAACAAAAAGGATTTTTTTTAAAGCTATAATAAGGAAAAGAGAAGGTTCAAATAAGGAATAGAACCACTGCTTGGGGTGGATGGAACAATAATTAACCAGAAAGGTTCTGTAGAACTGTTCAATTCTTTTGTTTCTGCTTTCTTTGCCAAAGACATCTTTGGACTAGAAAGAACAGAATAAAATGACTAATTGGGAATTGATAACTAAGATAAGCAAGAAAATAGCAAGAAAGTGCCCAGGGGCCCTTATGAATTTCAACTTTTTGTGTACTGAAAAAACTGGCAAATATTACTGCTGAGCCACTAGTGACATCTGAAAGATTGTGGAGAATGGGAAAGAAACCATGGATATAGAGAAGGACAAATATCCTAATCTACAAAAAAGAGAAGTAAGCAGAGATCCTAACTTATATTCCTGTGGAATTTATCATTCACAAAAAATAAAATGGGTAATTTTGGCTGTATGAAATTAAAAACCTTTTGCACAAATACAAAATTTTTTTAAAAACGAATAAAAATGGAAGTGGTTTATTGGGGGGGGTACAATTTATATTAAATATCTCTAAGAGGTGCCTAATATCAAAAGTACATAGGAAACTGATGTCAGCATACGGCTAAAACACATTCCTTGATGCATAGGTAGTTATGAACAAACAGTTCTCAAAGGAAGAACTGAAAACCATTAGCAGCCATATGAAAGAATGCTCAAAATCACTAATAAGAAGAGAAATGCAAATCAAAACAAACAACTAAAGTTTTTACCTCCTACCCAGCAATTTGACAAAGATGACAAATGATAGTACTAGTCAATGCTGGCAAGATTGTGGAAAGACATGCACTCGAAAACACCGTTGATGGAGCTGTGAACTAGACCAACTAGTCTAGTGAAGTAATCAAAACATCCTTTTGACACAAATATCCTATTGCTAGGTATATCAAAGAAGTCAGTGGAAAAAAAGAAGGATCTCATATACACTAAAATATTTACAGCACCACCTTCTTTAGTAACAATGAACTGGAAACAAAGCAGATGCCTACTGAGTGGGGAATGCCTAAACAAGTTGTACTACATTGATATAATAGAATATTACTGTGCTACAAGAAATGATGAATGTGATGAATACAGAGAAGAATGAGAAGATATGAACCGATACAAAGGTAGCAGGAAAACAATATACGCAATGACTACAATAAAGTAAATGGAAAAAGTAACAACAGAAGAAACTGAATTCTGTGAAATTATAATGACCAAGATAGTCTTTAATCAATTAACAACTAATCAGCGAACATTCATTAAGGGGCTACTTACTATGTGCCTGCTCTCACAGAGCTTACATTCTGACATTAGAGACCTTTAACTCTCATAGCACAAAGAAGAAATATGGGAATATTTCCTCCCTTCTTGGAAGAGGCAAAGGACAATGAGTGTGGAACAGTGAGTGTAAACCATGCCAGACTTAGGTGAAACACTGGTTAGTTTCGCTGACCTCCCTCTTTTTTTATCTTTTGTCATATGGAACGGTTTACTAGAAACAGGAAAAAGAGAGATATATTGGGAAATGCTGGTGTGTAAAAATATCTTCAGCATCAACAAGCATTTATTAAGCATTTACTATGTGCCAGACACTGTGCTGATCACTAGGGATACAAAAAGAGGCCAAAAACAGTCCTAGCTGACAAACTGCTCACATCCTAATGTAAAAGATGACATGCAAACAATAATGTACATAAAAGATAAACAGTGTAAGTGGGAGGTGAGTTCAGAGGGGAGGCACTAGGATTAGGGAGAACTGAGAAAGACCTCTTCCTCTTGAAATAGTTGTAATTTGAGCTGAGAAATTTTTTTAATTCTCAAAATAAAATATACCAATACAAATTTTTTTCAAAAGATTTTTAAAAAAATTAACAGTGTCCATAACAGGGTAAATGATCATTAAGCTATTCTCAGCTCTCATAAGTTCTGTTTTCACTTTGGGGGACCAAGTTTTAAAAGAGACACTGACAAACTAGAACATTCAGAGGAAGCCAACAAGGATGACAAGAACTACAGGCTATGCCATAGAAAACTGCCTGAAGGAAATAAGGATGTTTAGTTTGAAGATGAGAAAATTTATGAAAGACATGAGAGCTGCTACCAAATATCTGAACAGCTGTCAGAAGAAACAGGGATCAGACACATTCTGCTTAGTTCCTAGAGGGTAGAAATAGGAGCAATGGGTAGAAGTTCCAGAAAATAGGATTTTAAACAGATAGAGGGGGAAACTTCCTAATTGTTATATCTGTCAAAAAAAAAAAAACTAGAAAGGGGTCTCAGGAGATAATGGGTTCTTCATCACTGCAGGTCATAAAGCAAAAGCAGGATACCCACTTGTCAGGGATGTTACACAGGAAAAGTAAGAAGGGGTATTTCTGTTCATAAATAAAATGGATTAGATGACCTCTAAGGTCCTATCTTCCTAGTCTATGATTATAGGGGTAAGAAAATTCTGGGCATATAAAATGGAACTCTTTTTTTGAAATGCTAATGATAAATGAGAGCAACTGTATATTAAGGGAGATAAAATATCCACCCTAACTGACCAAATGAAACCACCATGAAACAATAAAACTAGACAGGCAAACAGCATTTACTTCCATTTCATCTCAATGACCAAAGAAAAATACAGTGCCTTCCCTTTAAAAAAAAAGAAATCCCTTTTTTCATTCAAAAGGTAAAAGCACAAGCCTTTTAACCTACATGTGTTTAAAAACTTGGAGTAATGAAAATGACTGAAATTCAACTTTCTATGTAGATTAAAAACTTGATATTATTTGTTGTTTTATATATATAGAAACTTGTTATTGTCATTAGTAGATTATGTTATATATATGTGTGTGTGTATATACATATACATTAGTAGAATTTATCTTTAAAATCCACTAAGTTTTAGTGAATTTGGGGAGGGCATACATCTTTTCTGGGACCCACTTCAGTATTTATTTCCTTTTTTTTTTTGGCTAGGCAATGGGTTAAGTGATTTATTTCATTTTCTAAAAGAAGAAAACTCTAATTTCCCACTTTAGAAGGTGCGGGGCAGAGAGCTACACTGTGAGAATTTGTTTTGCATGACTATGCATATTAGAAGGCTTTGGTTTTGTTTTTTTCCACTGACAGGGGAAGTGGGAGAGAGAGAAAATATATGCTTGTTAACTGGCTAACAAATAAAAGACAGTGTGCTGTTAACTACAAAGGACTATTTCATGTACCAACATTCTTAATTGCTATAAATTTTAGATTTTTGCCATGGGAAAAAACCTCTTAAAAGACAAGCAAGAGAAACAGCGTAGCACAGAGAACAGAAAGCTGGCCTTGGAGCCAGGAAGGTGTGGGATAAAATTCCACCTGAATCGAGTCCTTTAACTTCTTAGTGATCTAGGAAAACCTCCAAAATTTCAAGTTGCAGAGAAGGTGCAGACACTCATCAGTGGAGGGAATGTCTTCATCTAGAAGTTCTCTATATTGAAGAAATCACAGATCCAGTCCCCATACTAAACATACGTAACCTTTTGTAAAGAGTCCTCAAGTCTCCTCCTCGTCCTCCTCCCGTTGACTAATATAAGTTCTCATTCAATCCATCAAGAACTTATTAAGCACCTACTGTAAGGTAGACAATGGAGATATAAAGACAAAAAGCAAAGCCCTCCAGGAGCTTACACCAACCAGGGAGACAATATTTAAAGGTACATACAAAACTTACACAAAGCAGATGTAAAGTGACCTTGGAACAGAGGATACTAGCAGCTAGAGGGACCAGGAAACGTTTCATACAGAAGGTAACACTTCTTGAAGGAAGCCAAAGATTCCAAGATTCATTCAGGGAAAGAAGAAAGGCAAAATCTTTCACAGAACCTCTGACCTCCAAATTGCCTGTAGCCTCTGACCTCTCAGACCAGGACCAGGACCACTCAGAAATAGGAATCAGGATACAATAAGGCACAGAGTAAGTTGGTTCTAGAACCAAGAGATCATCTTTAGTACTATATAACTACTGCTATTTTGGAGGATTCCCTCTGATTTCCCAAACTCTGGACCTTGCCTGCCTAATGCTTCCTGCCTTGTCTACTCTCTTGATACCTGAATGTTGGTTTCCTTGACTCAAGGTATATTCTAGATTCCCCTGTGCCATGACTGCCTGAGGCCCATCACTAGCTGAAGTAGCGATGTACTCTGAGAGATGCAGGATGCGCCAGGCAAGTCAAACCACCACCATTATCTCTACCACCACCTCCCCTCAGACTCTAATAGAAACAGCCCACAACCTGAAATCCAAAGGCCTTGGGAAGAGCAGTGCATCTCACACCACAGGCACTACTTTTAGCCCAGGTCTACAGCTATTGCTGAGGGAAGCAGTGTCTGTTGGGGGACCCACATTCTTCAACACTACCAACATCAACTGCAGACCCCCTGCCTCCCATGGGAGGCCTACAATTCTGCTTCTAATCCAGCCAAGGAACCAGCATCCCAGGAAGCAATAGTCCCCTTCCTCCTCACCTTCACCCCCTCTCCTCTCATCCCACTCCAATCCCAAGAAGCAAGCTGCAGTGAACTACTGAAGACCCAGAAAAGCAACTTCTTGATGCCAAAGTCCTTGGCACTGTCAAATGGTCCAATATCAGAAACTGTTATCATTTATCCATGGAAATCACATTAAATATGAATTACCATCTACTTTGCCAATAACACCCTAAGGACCATGGGACCTTTCCTTCTAACTTGCAGCTGAAACCTGCTATAATGTGTTATTAGAATCTGAGCTCCTTAACACCAGGGAATGTATTCTTTTTTGATTTGTATCCTTTTACGCTCTGCCCATAGAAAGCACTTAATAAATGCTTTTTCATTCATCATTACTAAGGGCTTGAAGACACAAATGCAGCATATTTATGCTAGCATTTTAAGCAGCTAACATAAAGCCATTATTTTCTACCAAGTAACACAACATTTCATTCCTTCAGGTTCATAAGAACTCGGATCACAATGACAACTACTCCTTGCCTGGAATATTTTCCCTCCAAACCTCTGCTTCAGTGAGAGGGCAAGGAAAGATAAGGAAGATAATGCAAGGAAAAAAAAAAGATACGAAGAGTCATTGAGTCCTTTTTTTTTATGGAGAGAAAAATACAGAAAGTCAGATAAAGAGGCCAGCTTTGAAAGCTAGAGGTAGATTTTCATCATTCTTGAAAAGAAAAGCAATCTGTACATTACTGAGACCTACAGTTTCATGTGCATCCCATTACCTTCAGGATCAAATATAAAATTCTGTCTCGTATCTGAAGCTTTTCTCAACCTTGCCCTTTTGACCTTTCCAGTCTTCTTGCACTTTACTACCTGCCTTCCAATAACACTGATCACCTTGCTGTTCCTCTCAAGATACTCCATTTCCCAGTCATGCACTTTCTCTGGCTGTCCCCCCTGCCTGGAATGCTCTCTTTCTTAATAGCCCCCACTAGGCTTGCCTCCTTCCCTTCAAGACTCAACTCAAATCCCATGTGGTACCAGGGGCCTTTCTCATCCCCTCCTCCCTACTTCCAGCTAATGCCTTCCCTTCTAAGATTACATTTACACTGGATATATCTGGCATGTGCATTCCCTCTATATGCACATTCCCTCTCCCGTCTGAATGTGAGCTCCTAAAGGACAGGAACCATTTTCCTGCCCTTCTTTGTATATCCAGAGCCTAGCACAACATCTTTCACACAGTAAGCACTTAATAAACGCTTGTTCCTCCTAGCACAGGAGAAGTGTTCATTAAATACTTGTTGATGGTAATCACTTTTTATATCATATTAAACACCAAAGTTGAATGAGGACTTTTTACCAGTCAATCTTCTTTAAACAGTTTAAGTCCTTAATTCTATATTCATCATTACTGACATTATTATAAATTACAACAAAATAATTTTAATATATTTATAAACCACTTTCCATTTGAAATCTTATAGAAACACATGTAACACTCATACCTGTTCAGCTTTTTGATCTTTTTGAAATTCTTTCACTTGATTCTGTTGCTGGGAAACCATGACTACAGATTCTTCTTCAAGCTCAATGATTTTGGATTTTACACTCTCCATGACTTGTTCCAAGTCATTAGCTCGTTTTTCTTCTTGCAAAGCTCGGATTTGTTCTTGCTGCAGTTCATCTCTGATTTAATAAATACACAATTCCTTCTCTTGGTTATAACATCAATCCATGTGAAAAACAATTTTCTCAATTTTAGATTCAACAATTTTTCCAAACTTCTAAGTCACTCTTAACATTTTATCTTACATCAGAAGTTAACAATGGTAGCAAAGGTTCCTTTAACATGCAAATATTTTAAGCCCATAAAAGAGGCCGGATCTGTCAAAACCATAAAAGATAAAATAGAGTATTTTATTTTTTTAAAAGAATACTTCTAAAAACAAGTATTCATAGTCATAAAAATTCAGAGCAATTCAAAGCAGAATTTTTTTTTCCCTTAACAAAAATCTTACCTAAGCTGCTGATTTGCTTCAATGAGCTGATGAATCATATTCTGATTCCTTGTACTGTCATCCACCAACCTTTTTAAAGTCTGTCTAATACTTTGTGATGACTGTTTGTCAAAAATGATTAGATCTGGAATCAGACAAATTAAAATACAGTACCAAAAATCAAATATAGATAGCAATATATAGGATATATGTAATGTAGTGTCATATATTATATGTTGTATATGGTATACCATATCTCATACTGTTACAACATATATCTTATATTTTATATTTAATGATCTATTTTTATTTCATATACATGATTTGGAAAAGTAAAACTGACTTTTCTCTAAATTTTAGAAACAAAAAGAATAAGGTTTGATTACCGCCTAGATTTTTTCCACGCGTCCTTTTAACAAGAAACACTGGTTTTAAGCCATTCTTTGTTAATAGTGCATTTACGCTTTCCCATTCTGCTTCTTCTTGCTATAATCATACAAAAAGAAAAAAAAATCACTGACAAGTTCTAAAGTAAAATTCATATACTGTATTAGACTATAAATATGTTTTCTGCATTTAGGGTATGGAAATTTTTACTCGAAGCTTTGAAGGGAGAAAATTAATAAGCAAGCTAAATAATAATTTTTAAAAGAGGATAAAACACTCAGTGCTACTGTCAAGATTTTTAAAATTCTTTACATTGAATCTAAATTCCAGAGAGACCTAACTTTATCTCTAACCAACAAACACAAAATCATGGAAGTTCATCTTCATTTTAAAATAATGTTCGTCATAAGGATTACACTGTTTTCTTTACAGGTCAAGGTAAAATAAATAACATGAAAATGGACTATGAAACACCTTAAAATAATACACACACACACACACACACACACACACACACACCCCTTTCAATTCAATAGGCATTGCAGCTATTAAAAGAACAAAACTAACTTATCAGCTGATCCCCCAAAGTTAGCACTAGATTAAAATGAAGCCCAAAAGCAAGAATACTCAATTATATGCCCTAATAATCTAGAAAAAGGCAAGCAACCTATAGCACAGGTACCATTATATGACATTTTACTTAAAGGCATCCTCATCTGTAACATGAAGAGATGGATTAAGTATGAAGTACCCTTCAAATTCTAAATTTTATGATTCTATAATGCTATTTATTCGTGGCATTTTGTTATTTCTGCATTCACTACCTCCCTTTCTTTTTTCTTATTATTTTCTTTGACACTTTTATGTTTTATTGTTTTCTATGTCTCCTTCCATCTTTCCTTCTTTACTCTGCAGGTCTGGGAGCTGAGCCCACAAGCACTACATAGCTTCACCAAGATGATACTGACTTCTAATTCAAGAACCAAATTTTGGGAAGCTACAGTTCATTACCACTATAGACTCATTAAATTTAAGGGTCTCTTTCTCTATTGTAATGCTTATTTTGGATGTCCAACAAATAATTATATTAATATAATTCAATTTGATTCAATTCAATAAATATTTATTAAGAACCTACTATGTGCCAAGCTCTAGCGATATAAAAAGAGTAGCAAAAGACTGTCACTGTCCTCAAGGAACTTACAGTCTAATGGGGGAGACAATATGCAAACAAATAGATACAAAATAAGGTATGTACACAAGATAAATAGGAAATAATTAAAAGAGGGAAAGAACTAGAATTAAGAGGGGTTAGGGAAGATTTACTGTAGAAGGCAGGATTCTGGTTGGAACATAAAGGAAGCCATTAAATTTGTGTAATTTAAATGAATGGCCTCCAAGCCAGAGCAAAGTGAACATTTCAGGTGTAGGATATCATCTGAGGGTGCTTTATCCTCTGCCACACTGAGAAGAAGATACAGGTGAGCCCACAATCTCACTTCTGCAGAACTGATCCTCAGAAATTTACTGGACCAGATGCCTGCCTGAAAATGTCCAAGTCCAGCATCCTGGTGCTTAGAGACTGAACACTCATACCAACACCACTCACCAGAAAATGCAATAAAACAAGGGTCCAAGTCAACTGGTACTCCTGCAATGCTATGGCTAACAAATTCAAGCCTCCTGTTTCCCTAATCCTTGTGCTTCAGAGTCATGATCTGCTGAGAAAAAATTACCTGCCCCTTTTACCTCTCCCCTAACTTTAATCCCTAACCCAATCTTATTCCTCAGCAGTCTCTTTCCTCCTCTCCACTCTCTTACAATGTGAATGAATGAACGAAAAAGTCAGGGGCCTGATGATGAAGCATATTAACCACCTCTAGCATGCTACCCACCTTCTGCAGAGGTAATGGATTCAGGGTGCAGAAATGCATTCATTTTTTGACATAGCCAGTGAAGGAATTTGTTTTGCATGACTATATATGTTTGTTATAAAAGGTTTTATTTAGTGGGAAAGAAAATAGATTTTTACTAATTAAAAAATTAAGTTTAAGTTAAAAAAAAGAAAAAATGCTCATTCTTTAAAAAAAAAAAAACCCCAACAACCTTGCCAACCTCTCAAGCTACTCTTCTTTATTCTTTCTTTCACTGACACAATCTTAGAAAGTCTTCACATCTTCACTTGTCTCAACACTCATCACTTCTCAATCCTTTGCAATATGACATCTCTCTATCTCTCACACACACACACCCCCCACTGAAGTCATTTTCTCCAAGCTTATCAAAGATTCTGTCCATTTCTTTTAAATAAATATCTTTGGCTTCTTACACAAAGTCATTTCTCACTCCACAAGGTATTCCAATACTCTTAGTGCAATTTTAAGCTTTGACGATTTCAGAAGTAACAACACTACAAACTACAATTTTCTCAGTCACTTCCCAAATGATAGGTATCCACTTGCTTCTAGTTCAACCACAAAAAGCCCTGCTACAAGCATAAATGAGGCCTTTCTGTATTTCACCTGATTGCAGTATACACTTAGTCATGTGATTGTACTAGATCACCAAAGACTTTTAAATTGCAAAATCCGAGGGTCTTCTCCCTGTCTTTATCTTCCTTGATCTCTCTGTAGCTCATGACAGTTGACCATCCCCCCTTCATTATTTACTAACTCTTCCTCTGGCTTTTATGATACTACTCTCTCCTGGTTCTTCTCCTACCTGTCTGATTGTTTCCTTTCTGCCTCTTTTGCTGGATCATCATCTAGCTCCTGACTCCTCAGTTCAGGCATCTCCTAGAGCTACCCTGAGTCGTCTTCTCTTCTCTCTCTACACTTTCCCCTTGATAACCTCATCTGCTCCTCTCATGACACCTAAATCAACACATACAGCTTTATAGTCCTATCTAAATTCCAGTCCCATATTTCAACTGACCACTACATATACTACAGGCATCTCAAATTCAACATGCCCAAAATAGAACTAAAAAAAAAACTTCCTCTAAAATCCATTCCCTCCTCCAAACTTCTGTATTTATGTTGAAAGTACCATTATCTCACTCTTCAATCATTCTTGGGTCTTCACTCTCTCTCACTCCCTATATTAAATTGATTGCCAAGTCTCGTTGATTCTACTTCCCCAAATTTCTAGCATCTGTCTACTCCTACTTCAGGCCATAAGATTATCTGGGATAGCCTCCTAACTGGTTTTCCATCATCCAGTCCAATTTTTCCCACTGAAATTCCTCCTTACACAGCTGCCCAAATAATTTTCCTGAGGCATGTTTCTCACCAGGTCATTCTTCTGCTTAGTAACTTTCAGTGACTCCTTACTGCTTCCAGAATAAAGTCAAATGCCTCAGTCTGTAATTTAAGACCACCCACAATCTGGTTCCAGCCTACTTTTCCAGTCTTACTTCATACTACTCTTTTGCACTAACAGTTAGTCTCCAAACTTAATATTTTTATCTACTGCAAAGGTTTCCCTTGCCTAGAATTCACTCCTCCTTTCCCATCTCAGAATCCTTATCTTCCTTCAAACCTCAATCCAGGTGCTACCTTCTCTGTGAAGCCTTCTGTAATCTCCCCAGTTATGTGTTTCCTCCCCTTCAAATTAACCGATATTGTACTTATTTGCTTCAATGACATTACATCTATAGAAAAAATGTACTCTCCTTGAGAGCAAGAACTATTTTGATTTTGTCATTGTACTCCCAGAGGCTAGCATAGTACCTTGCAAACAATAGGTACTTTATGAATATTTGCTGAATTATTTCACTGAGAAAAAAAAGTTTTTAAATAAGGGTTTATATAAAGAAACTACAAAAAAAAACTTCAAAATGATGTAGCCTGAATTCTGGAAAGAGCTAAACAATGAAGGAGTATCCTTTACTCATGCAAATATAGCAAATACAGCGTGGACTCAAGAAAGAGCTAAATAATGGAGGGGTATCCTTTATCCATACAAATATAATAAAAATGTCACTACTTTCCAAACCAACTTACAGATGTTTGAAAGTAAAAAGCTTACAGTTTTCTAAAACAGCTAAAGAAAAATACCTGACTTCCTGTGATAAGTAAGTCTAATAATTCAATTGACGTAGGGGATGTCAGTGGAATGATGGACTCTGTGTGATCTGATGAAGTAGGCAAACAATCTTGATTGACCTGCATAAGAAAATACCCACACAGAAGTTCAAAGTCAGTTATGTTCTGAAGATCTTCTTATTCTTCCCAGCCAAGAGTAGAATATTCTCTTCTGACTCCATAATCTGCAAGATTAAGCCTATCCTAAATTCTTCTCTTTACTACTATCATAATTTATTCTATTAATTAGGCAAGTCACTTTAACACATGTCTGCTTCTACATCTGTAAAATGGGAATTAATAACAGCACCTATCTCCCTGAGCTGTTGTGGGTATAAATGAGATAATATTTGTGAAGTGCTTTGCAAACTTTAAATAGTGCTACATAAATGTTAGTTATTATCTTTAAATAAACCACTAATCTGCCTTCAGAAATATTTTTGTATTTTGCTAAAAAAAATTAACCCAATTATATACAAATAAATTGCAAAATAATTAAAGCATGCATAACTAGCCTAGCACACATTGAAAATAGCTTCATAAACTATTAAAAAGAAATATACCTGACTGGAAGTCATATTCCAATCTAATAATTCATTAGCATCCTGGTTCAGATTTGATGCCATTTTCCATACAGCCAAATGGAGCAGAAGTTATCAGTGAAGAACTCCAACAGACCTGTGTAGCAGAAAGTAGGATTTTACATCTGTTATTCTGGGAGATCATTGCGCACAGTAATAGCAATGTTGTAATGATGATCGACTGTGAAAAATTTGGCTACTCTGATCAATACAATAATCCAAGACAATTCCAAAAGTCTCATGACGAAAAAATGCTATCCACCTCCAGAGAGAACTGATGAACTTTGAATGCAAATTGAAGTACAATTTTCTCACTTTCTTTATTTTTCTTGCCTTTTTTTAAAAAAATATAGCTAATAAGGAAACGTTTTGCATGATTTCACATGTAGAATTGATATCATATTGTTTGCCTTCTCAGTGGGCAATGGAGGGGATGGAAAGGAAGGACAGAATTTGGAACTCAAAATTCAAAAAGAAAAGAATGTTTAAAATAAATAAATAATAAATTTTAAAAAAATAAATTTTCCAACTTTGGTTGGAAAAGGGGAAAAAGAAAGAAATATTCTCCCCATTCCCTTGGGCTTCTTTCTTTCACCCCATAACCATAAGCACACATTGCCACAAGTTTAATTCTCACTTCCATGCCAATAATACACAACTATCATAAAAATTTTAAATACAATTAAATATTTTAAATGTTAACTCATTCTATATTGGGATTAACTCCACTTCCTGATTAGACATGACTGATTGGTAAACTCTCCACATTACCTTACACACAGCAGAAGTTCAATAAATATTTGCTTAACTGACTTTTATGTATAAGGATGTGTTAGTTTCTCAGGAGTTCTTTTTGTTGATAACATTAAGTATCATGAATTAATGTGAGATACTTCCAAAAAAAGGATTTTCTCTTCTATGAAAAGTTTTAGGTGTTAGAAATTTAAGGTCACCTTACTATATTCGGGCCATTGTAAAATATTTTTACCCAAAATCCACTCGATCAATCAACAAACATTTGTTCTGCACAAACTAAGTTCCAGACACTGTGCTAGTACTAGAGATACAAGTACGAAGAATCAATTTCTACTCCTAAGGAGCTTACATTCTATACATAAATATTTATAAAAGTATATACAAGGCAGTTAGGGAGGGAAGGAACTAATAGTTGGGAGGGTGGGGGAAAGTGTCTGAGCTACATATTAAAAGGAGAGATTCTATGAGGCAGAAGTAAGAATGTAGTGTAATCCAGATATGGGAACTGCCAGTGTTGAAATTGAGTCATTTCAGCAATGTCTGACTTTTCGTGATCCCATCTGGGGTTATCTTGGCAAAGATACTGAAGTGGTTTGTCATTTACCTCTCCAGCACATTTTACAGATGAGAAAACTGAGGCAAACAGGGTTAAGTGACTTGACCAGGGTCATACAACTAGTTAACATCTGGGGCCATGTTAACTCAGGTCTTCCTAACTCCAGGCCCATCACTCCATCCACTGAGCCACTGAGCCCCAGCGATGAAATACAGAATAGTAAATTGAAACTGAACTGTCTACTAATGACCAAAATTGGCCCTGGAGAGGAAGTGATAAAATGCACTTCCCTCCCTTCACTGCAGAGGTGAAGAACTATGGGCATGGAATGTTGCATATACTGACAATTGGAGATGATGCTGGTTGGTTTTACTGAACTATTTTTTTTTCCTTTTACATCTTTATTATAAGGGAATCTTGCCAAGTTGGGGGAAAGAGAAGTATTGAAAATGAATGTGATATAAAAACAAAAGGCATTAATTTTTTAAAAGTCCAATTACCTAATATTCAAACTTATTTTACAGTTTTAGAATTATTTTCTAATTCATTCATTTACTCAACTTACTCTGGATGTTTCCTCTATGTATATCTCATCTCCCTAAATAGCTTAAAAATTTCATCTTCTGGTTTTTTTTGTTTGTCTGTTTGTTACTTTTCCCCACAGTGCTGGAGACAAAGTAAGGATTTAATAAATGTCTCTTGAATGAATGAATGAATGGGTGAAATCCATTTTTAGGCCATTCAGTTACAAACAAATGGCAAAGTAAAGGAAAAAATCCAGATGAAATCCCAAAACACAAAAAGTATTTCAGACTTAACTTTAAACTTCATAAATTTTGTGACACACACCAGGGTTCCTAAATGTTAAGTGGTTAACACTAACAAATTTTCATTATCAATTACAAAAAGGGCACAAAGGAATTACTATCAATGGATAAATGGCAGAATTGTACATACAGAAAACTTAATAATACTACAATAATACATTGCTGCAGTCTATGACTTTAATTGCTGGCCTTCAATAATTACCACCACAAAGAATCAGTCATCTGATTCTTTTCATCAGTTATCATGGTGCCCATATCTCAGTCTTGGTAGATACCTCTTGCAACTTCTACTTGGTGGTTAGAAATTGCAGTTTAATGAATGACTATCCAAAACAACCTAGGTCCCCACAAGACAAACTATAAATATTTTAAATTTTACTTCCCTCTCCATCTTAGAATGTTTCTGTGCTATTCCTGGGACTAGGGAAAACCATGGGCTTATAGTCCTGCCAATAAACTGAACCTGATATAATTAGTAGCACACTACCACTCCCTACCATATGGCTTTTCAGTCATTCTCTCCCATCTTTCCTTCCCTTTGACTTGTTTTCCTTTCCCCCTGCCTTTCTGGCACACTTTGCCTGTTACTAATCGGTACTGAATCTATTTGTCCATTCTGTTTTGACAGAAAAATGTACTCATGTACAATGTTCTGATATAGAATACTCCTTCCTACCAGACAAATAAATCATCACAAAATACAGAGCAGAATTTAGCAGGCTGCAAAATACAGAAAGTCACATCTTCCCTCCTCAGCTTCTTTCTACAATCATTAATGACTAACCAACTATCAAACTACGTACCAAGCTCTTCTCAGGAATCTGTTTGTACTCTGAGCTACAGTCAAACTCATACATAGTGGCATTTCACCAATAAACTTTCTTGCTTCCTCATCTCCATTTAGACTATTCTCCACTGCTGGAATGTTCTCTCTACTCACCTGTGCCTCTTGGAACTTCAGGGCTCAATTCAAGCACCACCTTCTTCAAGAGGTCTTTCCTTTTCCCCTCAGTTATTAGTGCTCCCCCCAAAAAAAATCAGTATGTACTTATTGTAATATATCCTATGTATCCTGTATTTACTTATCTGTGAATGTGTTATAACCTCAATCAACTGTAAAGACCCTGGGGGCAGAAACTATCTCATTTTACTGTTTGTATACTCAGCACATAGCACAGTGGTTGGCACACTGAAAACACTTAATAAATGCTTGCCCACCAGTCCCTTTCCATGCTTCAGGCCTGTCAGTGATTCACAATGGTACCCTATGCACTTTAACTAGCTCCCTCAAACTGTTGTGAAAATCAAATGAGACGACATTTGTAAAAGTGTTTTGTAAACTCTAAAGTGCTAAAACAATGTAAATTGTTTACTCTGACCTGAATAAGTTGTTCATCATGTGTTCTAGTCAGGTGAGGAAGAATCAGGTTTTCACATGGCTTTAAATTTTCAAGAAACAACAGATACTATGAAGAGATTTGGACCAAATTTCACAATTTGGCCTGATGTGTAATCCAGCAGAATAAAAATTACACAATGTCATAATAGCAAACTGTCCACTAATGTGATACTCTGAGGCCTGCCTCATCTTGGTGGCTCTCAAAGGCAAGCTCTCACAGGTCCTACCCAATTTGATTCAATGCGCGAGTATATAGGACCTACTTTGTGTATTCAAGGCCTTCTACTATTTGGCTCCAACCTGTTTCAGGCTACTCTCCCTTTCCATCTCCATGCTTTGTTAATGACTGAAATGGGCTGTCTTTCCTCAACCTAACCCCACCTCCAGATTATAGCTCTTCAATTCCTTCAAGATTCAAGTCACGTTCTACTTTTTGGCATAAAGCCCTTCCTAACCCTTGGTTCCCATAATATAAATAACAAAAGCACTTGTTCTGTACCTCTGTTTGTCTCACGAATCCAGAATATCACGATTACCTACATGCTTGTCCATCCTCACCACCCTCTAATCACCTTTAGACTTAAAAACTCTTAGAATATGGAGTTTGTGTCCTAGATGTTTTTGTATCTCTACCACCTAAGAAACACTATGCCTTGCAGTTAGCAGAGATTTAACTTTTTTTTGTAGATGCAGCATGAGGCACACGTTTGGGAACACTGACAATGTGGAAATTGGTTTTCCTTGACCATACATATTTGTTGGGAGAGTGTGTTTTTCTTTTTTCATTAGGGGAGAGAGGATGGAAGTAACTGTAAATCATAAAAATAAAGTGTTGGCAGGGCAGCTAGGTGGCACAGTGGATAGAGCACCGACCCTGGACTCAGGAGGACCTGAGTTCAAATTCCAACTCTGACACATGATACTCACTAGCTGTGTAACCTTGGGCAAATCACTTAACCCCTACTGTCTCGCAAAAAAATAAAATAACATAAAATAAAATAAAATAAAACATTGGTTGAATTACAAGGTAATGAAAATACAAGTAGATGTCAAGCAGGAAAATCTTCCTTCTTCGTAAATTTTAAAACACTCTACAGGGTGTCCCAAAGATAGACACTTAGACAGTTAGATAGATAGATGGACAGATGGATGGATGGATGGATGGATGGATGGATGGATGGATGGATGGCGAGATGGAGAGATGAAGAAATGGAGAGACAGAGAGAGAGAGAGAGAGAGAGAGAGAAAGAGATGGATAGATGGACAGATAGACAGACAGATATAGCTATAGATATAACTGCACTGGGACTTTGGAAACATCCTCTATAAGTGTAGGCTATTCTTATTTCTTATCGTTCTGCCGGGCGCTGGACCCTACATCCACCCTTGGACCTAAGCCAGCCTAGCTTGGGGAAGCGAGCACGGCCCCTCAACAGAAGAACAGCCACCAAAAGACATAATTTTTCAGCCGCTGTATCGCAAGAAGGGAGCTACGATGTGTGCGTCGGCGGGGCAAGCACCCAGGCCCTGGAGAAATATTTTAAAATATCAAGTCATAACTTCCGATGCCCAGCGGGCAGATGATGCCCGCTCGTCTCCAGCCGGCGCTGGGCACCAACCAGGGGCGCCGGGACCGGCAGGCTCAGCGCCCGCGCAGCGGAGGCAGCAGGGGGTCGCGGGCGTCTCCTCCCGGACACGACGCCGGCGCCCCAGCGTCCGCGCAGCGCCTCCTCGGCGGGAGGGGCCTAAAAGCCCCTCTCCACGCCAGCCTCTCACCCGCTACCCGACTCTGAGGTGAGTACCCGACTCTGACTCGCACAGACCACCCCCCTTTTTACCTCTTTCGTGGAAAAGAAATCCCGCAGAGCCAGCGCCCACCCGCGACCCCGCCTGGCCCTTTACTGCGGATGGTTCAGCGCGCAGCTGCCCGGGAGACGGCGGCAACGGAGGAAGGCCTAGGGAATCGATCACGAGCGAATAGATGGGCCCCTGCCGCCTACATCCATCGGTGCGTTCTTGTGCGATTTCTCTGCAAGTCTGCCTGGGCCCGGGACGTCTCCTTTGCTACGACCGCAGTCTCTAGAAGAGAGATGGTAGGGAGACGGCGGACAGCCGAGTCCCACTGCCTCCTTTCTCTCCTTTCTTCTCCAAAATGATTCATCCCGTCTCCTTTTACACTTACTTCTCCCCAGCTATACCCCCACCCCTTCCGAAATCTTTACCTCGCTTGCATCTTCAAGGACCTCTCCGTCGTGGCCTGGGTTTGGAATCAGGTCTTCAGTTTACATCCAGTCTTTGCCCACTTACAGGCTGTGGCACCTTGGGCAAGTCTTTTAACCTTTCTGAACTTCAGTTTTTTCCTGTGTAAAACGAGGAGGGGGGGAAGGTTGGAATAGGTAACATCTGAGTCTCCTAAATCTTTTCTTTGGGAATGGGAGAAGGCTTCTCTTGCTTGCTTGCTACACACAGCAAACATGAGTGGCCAGAGTTTTCTGTCGCTCAAGTAGCTTCAAGACTAAAATGTTAGAAGTCACTGGCACAGAGGCAGCAAGTAAAGACCAGCTATGTTCCTGTATGTATGTATGTACATTCAGTCGTTTTCAGCTGTCTGACTCTTCATGACCCCATTTGGGGTTTTCTTGGCAAAGATACTGGAGTGGTTTGCCACTTCCTTCTCCATCTCATTTTTTACAGATAAAGAATGAGGCCAGCTAGAGTAAAATAATATAACTCATATTTTAGAGCACTTTGGAGTTTGCAAATTGCTTTCTATACAACAGTCTTCAGATTAAAGAAGTTCAAGTGTTGTCTCCATTTTAAAGAGGGGGAAACTGAAGCACAGAGAATTTAAGTAATTTTTTTTTCATTGTCATAGAGACTCCACTAATGCTGTGTAGTAAATCAGGACCTGAACTCAGGACTTCTGATACCAACATTCTTTATAAAAGGGAATGAGAAATAAGAGCATTTATGGTGTAGACAACAAAGGATTTAGTATTGTGAATCCCTCTGTCCTCCCCCACCTTCTCCCAATTTTTGGCATATCCTTGAGGAATATCAAAGATTCAAGAATATTTGCAAGGTCCTGTGTGGGGTGTTTGTGACCCCCAAAATAATCAAATCAGAGACTTTTTCTTAAGAAAGGCCAATAGGAGTTTTATTGCTTTCTCATGAGAAAGGACACACCCAGCATTCGCTCAAAATGGCTCCGGCCAAAGTGTGGGAGGGAGTGTAGATCAATGCCAGTTTATGTAGACCCTAAGGCGGAACCCCCACCCTCCCACTGGCTCCTCTTCCCATTGGCTGGGCTTCAGAGCTCACAGTCTAAGCGCCTAAACTTTCCCCAGCAACATGGTTTGCAAAAAGGCAGGAAACAAGGAACTGTTGGTTCAGCAGGAAAGTAAGAAAAAAGGAGGGGAGAGCTGGAAAGCCTGGAATCAATAACCTAATCTCCCCCTGTCCTGTTTTCTTATCAGTTCTGTGGAACTGTTAGCATTCCTCACAGTCCCTACAGTGAAATGATCATCAGAAAAGGGTATGTATGTTTATCTAAGAAAACTGCAGTGTGTGGGGGGCAGCTAGGTTTGCGCAGTGGATAGATCTCCAGCCTTGGAGTCAGGAAGACGTGAGTTCAAAATTGGCCTCAGACACATAACATTTCCTAGCTGTGTGACCTTGGGCAAGTCACTTAACCCCAATTGCCTCACTAAAAAGCAAAAACAAAACAAAAAAAAAAAACTGCAGTGTTGAGGCGTGTAAAGTATGAGGAGGAACCTTTCAAGTCCCCTGAATTTTGAAAGAGGTCTGAGAAAGTCCTTTATACTAATAGAGATAGGAATCAGGATGGGAGAACCTCTGTGGAGAACACTGTCTCATGACAATTGCTTGAGAGACTATTTTGGGCACTATTTAGGAGAATCTGTAAGGCAAAATATGTCAGCAGCTGCCTGAAGAACTCTTGGGTATCATCTATTTGGATAATACCTAGTAGGAGCTCTGAAACAGATTAAAGATTGTACTGAAATAAAAGGTCCCTACAGAGCAAAATATTCATGGCAGCACTTTTTTGTAGCATCAAAAAACTGGGTACAAAGTATATGCTCATTGTTTGGGGAATGGCTAAACAAATTGTAGTACATTAATGTAATAAAATATTACCGTGCTATAAGAAACAATGTGATGAATACAGAGAAGCATGGAGAGACTTATATGAACTAATGGTATATAGTGAGTTAAGCAGAACCAGGAAAACAGTATAAACTATGACTATAACAATGTAAATGGTAAGAATAGATAGTCAATACTCAATACTGTGAAATTAAAATGACCAAATGGCCACCAATGAGAAATATGAGAAGACACTTCTCTTGATTTTTTTTTATATATGGGAGACTACGTTGTAGAACACTGTACATTAGACTTTTTTGATATGTAAGTTTCTTTTGCTTTTTTTCTCTTCCCTCTTTTTAAAGTCTTTATTATAAGGATGGCTCTTTAAGGAGAAGATAGATAAAGGACCCAGTGGGAAAGGTAGATGATATGAAAACAAAATAAATCAATAAAAAGTTATTTCAAACTAAATAAAAATGGTTTTAAATAGCTCCTTTTAGTTCTGAATCTAAGAGAAGACTTAGCAGAAGAAGCAAAGAAGATTGAGGCAAAAGTGGTGAACTTTAGTAGTGGCTTGTACACGTGAACAGTTGTAGAGGAGGAGTCCTGAAGCCATTAACAACTAGAAAGTCTTGTTAACTGTTATTGACAGCAGTGAAGGTAGAATCTCAACAAATAACTTCTGAGTCATAGAATTACCTAGAGGGGTGTTTCAGCAGTAATAAAGGGAACCTTCAAAGTAAACATATCTAAAACAGAACTCATCTTCCCACTATCACCAAAACCAATTCCCCTCTTGACTTTCTTATTTTTTAATAAGTATTACCTAGCATTTTCCCAGGAACCAGCAGGCTCAGAACCTTGAACTTATATTTTACTGTTCCTTCTTCATTAGCAGCAATTCTCTTTCCTTCTTATTTCTATCCTCTGGCCTGATGTATCCAGAGGGTTGCTGTCTCCTTTAAAAATCACTGTCCCATTAGTTCATCCATTTCAAATATCCCTCGTTCAGGCCCTTGTCACCTGGACTAATACAGTAGTTTATTAGCTGGTTTCCCTCTATAATCTTCCCCTATTTCTGCTGTCCAGATTAAGCTTCCTAATTATAACTTATATTATGTGATTCCCTCCATTGCCTCAGTAGCCCACAATAACATCCCACTGACTAAAAGATAAAGTTTAAACTCAGTTTGGCATTCAAGGGTAAATCTAGCCCTTTTATTTCAAGTCTTAACCTTCCTACCAAGCATCATCTCCAACTATTCTCATATATTCACTCAAGAAAGAGCTATCAAATGCCTGCTGAGGGGGACTTCCATCAATACAGCTGCATCAGAGGTTTTCTATTAGCCTAGTTCCTCATTAGCTCAAGACAGACATTTGACAAATAAATTGAAGGAAGAATACTAAAATAATTAAAAGTAAGGAGTTTCCTATCATTAAACAGCAAAAAGACTAAAAAATGAGCAAGCAAGTGAAAGTCCCCTAGTACAAAGATGAAATGACATGAGGTAAAAGAGCACAGTAAGAACTATCCAGAAGAGAATATGTCTCATGATGAAATCTCCAAGGGAGATTTGATCACTTTGAACAGAAGTTATAAAACCTAAGCAAGGCAATAGGCACTTAGGGGAAAGAATGGAAAAAAGAAAAGATAAAAGTTCAATGATATTACCACAAAGCCAAAAGATAGCAGACTTGGGAGAACACATAAGATCTTTGTAACAAAATATGATTGACCTGAAATACAGGGCTGAGAGGGTCCATCTAAGAATCACTGAACTTCCAGAAAAACATTATGAAACAAAAACTATGAATATCATGCTTACTTCAGGAAGTCAGAAAATTCCCTAGAAATATAAGAACTAGAGGGTAAAGTGATCCAATTATACGCATAATCAATCAACAAACATTTATTAAGTACCTACTATGTACCAAGCTCTGTGCTAAGTGCTGGGGATACAAAAAGAAACAAAAGACAGTCTCTGCCCTCAAGGAACTTCACAATCTAATGGGAAGACAACATGCAAACTTTACACATATGTACAAAACAAGCTGAATACAGGATAAATAGGAAATAATTAACAGAGAGAAGGCACATGAATTAAGAAGGGTTAAGGAAGGATTCCAATAAAAAAATAGGATTTTAGTTGGGACTTAAAGAAAGCTAGGAAGGTCAGTAGTCAGAATTGCAGAGGGAAAATATTCCAGGCCTAGGGGAAATCCAGAGAAAATTTCCAGAAGAAAGAGATGGACTGTCTTTTTTGTGAAACAACCAAGAGGCTATTTTCATTGGATTGAAGAGAGTATGTCAGGGAGTAAGGTACAAGAAAACTGGAAAGGTAAGAGGGGGCTAGGTTATAAAGGGCTTTGAATGCCAAACAGACCATTTTGTATTTGATCCTGGAGGCAATAGTTAGTATACTGGTGTTTATCAAGAAGAGTTTGGTGGCTGAGTGGAAGAGGGGTTAAAGTAGGGAGAGACTCAAGGCAGGTAAACCCACCAGCAGGCTATTGCAATAATCCAGGTGTGAGGTGATTCAGGCCTACACTATTGGTGGCAATATCAGAGGAGTTATTTAAGAGATCTTGCAAAGGTAATTGACAGGCCTTGGCAACAGATGGAACATGGGAGGAGTGGGAGTTTGAGAGATAATGAAGAATCCAGGATGATTCATAGGTTGTGAGCCCCAGAGACAGGGAGGATGGCATTGCCCTCTATCGTAATAAGGAAGGTAGGAAGGAGAGGGTTTAAGGGGAAAGATAATGAGTTCTGTTTTGGACATAATGAATTTAAGGTACTTATTAGAC